TTGTCCCGAACCTCAGGATTCGCAGCACGCTCTGCGTGTCACGCGGAAGGCCAGGTTTACTCCTGCCAGCGCTGTTTCAGTGTGACAGAGCGTGGGCGGATGAAAGCAGTGAGCGTTTGTTTGGGCGGGGGGGGGGTTCCTTACGAAAGCCACTTCCTGATCTGTGATCCAGTGTTTGTTGTTGCAATCTAGACTTGTGGCGCTAACACCAGCGCCGCCCGGAGCAGTGAGCACATTCACCCCTCCGCACTTCACTGGTAATGCGACCTGGGGGGACAGGCTGAGATTTCTGGGCCGGTATGATCCGCTTGACTACTTTTAAAGGGTACCGTAAATCAGAGGAGGATGACGACGAGGTTTTTGTCAGCAATTCTGGATCAAAGGTGACGGCACTTTTTGTTTTCCCTCCCCGTTTTAGTTGTCAACCAGCTAATTGTACAGGCGAGAGAATCACGTGGCTTTTAAGTAAATCCCAATCTGAGTGGTATGTAAATACTCGCAAGACTTAATTGCATACAAGTGGTGTCCACTTGTATTGATGTTGATGTTTCATTCTGGACTTAATAAGAACTGCATTGTCCACACACACCAGATAAGCAAAATGTTTGTAAACATTATGTGGTGGCTCCCTGATTGATAAAGATCACAGTTCCATGCAAATATGAGTATTTTGGAAGCCTGTGAGCTCTGCTAGTATGCAGAGGAATGTAATTCACCAGTGAGAACTGGATGTGGTTGAATAGGCCATTTGTAGTTGGCGATGAGAATGTCTGTTCTCTGACACTGTGGGAATTGGTGTGGTTTACTTCAGTGCAGCGGTCAGCACCGTTATTTGAAACTGGAGTATTTGGGTGATGACAAGAGTGTTTTCTGTTGATGTTTCCTATGTCCTCTTAAATCTTTTTTTTTTCTAATTATAGTTGGTCAAAGTGAACTAACCTTCATCTTACCTTGAAAGATCTCCAAAAATATTTTAAGATTAAAGAAAAGTGATTGTGTTAACGATGCTAGAATGAGGCCTGGAGCTCTTAGGACAGAGGTGAAAATCCGTGGGAGGAGAACCTTCATTCTAGTGTGATCAGTTTGCAAGCCAGCAGCATTCGAACAAGTGGCAGCAGGGTTTATCATCCCAGTTGGTCAAGTTGCAAAATCGAGCTTCACTGAAAGTATTGCACTGTAATTACAGAAGACTTATTTTGCACTGAATCGAACTGTAATTTTTCTTTTTCTTTTTGCTATTTTCCGTGCACACACTGTGCATTAATTGTAGGGCATATCTTCCTCAGCTTGCAGAGCTGGCTCAGCCTGATAAGAAGATGTGCCGGCTCAAACCAGAATTTTTAACATGCTGTGGTTAGTTTTAATTTCTCCTTTTCATTTGTGCAGCTGAGTGCTAAGGGTGCCGTTGGCTAATTGCTCGGATATTGGTTAATCGCCCCTGTATGACCCAAGGAATAGTCGTTAAATTGAGCCATCTCAGGCAGTGCTGTGCAAAGACACACGATTGTAGAAATAAATGACTGGAAAATGTTGGTTAGAATGAACGTTTCTAGATAAAATATGTACAATGTTTTATATTGCAATATTGTTAAATGGGGAAGAAAGCAGCAGCCAAAGAGTTTGCTATGCAATTATTTTGTTTAAAAATAAACTGTTGGACCACATAAGGAGGTGGTGATGATTGTAAAAAAAGAAATTGTTGGAAATCTTCAGAGGTGCTACTTTTTAGGAGAAGCATAGAGCTTCATGGGGTGTATTCCTAAATCCAAGGGCTATGTACAGGGATTGTTTGCCTTCCAGTCAGTGGAAGCTTGTTGAATTGGTTTTTGCCGAGTTTAAATAAGGTTTTATTTTCTAAACTAGGCTGTTACTTAAGAGCATCTAGTTTGACTTTTGAAGTCCAGCAATAAGCTTTGAATGTCATGAAACCAATGCCTTTTAGCGATGTCTCATTTGATTAACAAAGCTTTCAAATGTGCATTTTTAAAGTGAAACTATAAATTAGTATTTGAGAGCTCAAACTGAAAGATCGGATGGGTAAAACGTCAGCAAGAATTGCAAAGAAAAATATAAATGATTTTAATGGAATGTTTAAAATTAAGATACTATAAATGCTGCAATAACAGTTATTTATCCTGTTTAGGAAGTATTGTTTTTATCATTTTTAAGTTAAAGATTCTATGCAAAAGCAGAGGGTACTTTTACTTGTACAGTGCTGTGTTACAACAGCTTCACTTAATTAACATGCAAATGAGGTCTCAGGGGTTCCTGCTGTGTATACTGTTCAAGGGAAATGTTTTGGTTACGGTTTTGCTCTTGTCTAAATATTTTAGTTCACCTCCCTACAGACCTGGTATAAATAGATCAAAAACAACTTGAAGCGAACACAGTTAGGTGGTTAACTATGTTTTTCTGACGTAGATCCACTGTCATTTTTAGCAATATTTATTTTGTACATGGCATGTATTTCATTTTACTCATCTTGGTGAGGGAAAAAAAAAAACAGCAAAAGTGACCACTACTCAGCAGAGAATGCCTTAAGATTGTAGAAGGTTTGTGAACTGATTTTTTCTGCCCTTGTTTCTGAGCAGGAAATCCCAGCTGTTTTGAGTCGTGGGCTATACAGTGCGCACGTAGAACAATTCCATTAGGCTTTCTATTGTGTTATCCGTGAGGAAACTCTGTGTTTTTCAGTGAAGGGGAATGGACCAGTTTCCCAGAACAGCTCAATGGACAGTTCCAGTGTGTGTCTGCCAAGTTTAGTCACAGATGTGCACAGCTTCACTTGACCCAGGCATGTCAAGGAAGCACTGTCACAAGGGTATAGAGTGACAGAGGGGATACGTGTCAAAGTACAGTGCCTAGTATCAATGTCTCAGAACTTATGTTCAATCTGTGCACTATAAGTGTATTTTTGGTTCAAGAGGAGAAAGAATTTCTTGTATGTTCAGCCTTTTTTGTCTAGCAATAAGGCTAAAAGTGATAACAATGTACCGTTTCTGTGGGCGTTCACTGGTGTTTTGTCAGATCTGAAAAGGTGACAGATTGTGTATCTGTGTGCGCTCTGGCTGTTGTTGAACTCTCTCGGAGACTGAAAAACTGTCCCGCTGGGCACTGTTTGGAGAAGCTGTTGTTATATACCAGTCTTTCTAGAGGCAGAAACAAGGCAGTCCAGGCAAAGAAACCAAGTGCAGTTCCTTTGTTTATTTTTGCAATTTTTTTTTTTAAGGCTGCAGTTACAGCTTGTTCTCCTCAGCTAACTGTTTCTCCAGCACTTTGCACTGCTACTCTCTTGGTTAACAGTGTGTTGTAAAATTTCAGTATTGTGCTATAGAAAATTCCTCATCTGATATGCTTTAAAGTCAAGGTCATTTAACCCCAGCAAAGTGCTTCACAGCAGGCTTTCTTGCAGTTTCCTATTTTGTTATACATCAGCTTGTTACAGTCACACTTTTTTTTAAGATGACCAGAGCTGGGGGAAAAATAAATAACTGGAGTTAACCTGATTATTCTCAGATGTTGCTTTGAAGCCTGTTCTCGTGACGTCTTTTTTCTGTTCTGAAACTAGAAGAGTGAGTGCTGGGGTCAGCTCAGAGATGGTCGATTCCTTGCAGAATCGGAAGAGAGCAGAAGTTAGTGAGGCCCTTTTAAAAGCATCTGGACTCCACTCTGCTCTTCCCGACCCATCATTGCGACCTGCAATGCTGTCACAAGCAAAAGCTGTATTTCCATCTCTCTGAGAATATGGTGTTATCTGTTCTGTCGAAACGTTCATATACAGAAGCTTTGCCCCAAACTCCAGAGCTCATCTTTTTAGTTTCCAACGGCTTGTTTGTGTGAACAGATGCTTTCTTCTGCGCAATATCCTGTGTTGTACTGAGACTTGAATATTATCAAAAGAAAAATCGAAGACGGGGGAAATCCTTTGTCAATCTAATTTTGACACACAAACTTTGACCATTTCAGCAAAACTTTTTTTTGGGTCTAATTGACATTTCCCTCAAGTCAAAAAGTAGTAAATGTTTGTGTCTATTAGAGTGGACTATACTTATGCTCACGTTAAAGAAGTGGTGTTTTAACATGGTGGTGGCTACTGAACTCACAGAAGTGATTGACCTAAGCCGCGGTGCCCAATGTATCCAAGCAAAGTGAAGTAAACGGCATCAAATACTGTACACTGTGGTGTCTAGAGGATCTTGACATGAGAGTTTTGCTCACACGTTTGTACTAGAATTATAATAAATTGGCGTACTGCAGCTCTTCACCCAGTTGCCTGGCCAGAAACCTACTCTTACTCCAGAGTCTGCCGGGTCTGGGGAAGTCTTTCGCAGCTGAGGGGTGGATGTCTGTTTTTGATCATCTCTACTCCTCCTTGGAGTCCTCTTGATGTCTGTGATCACACTAAATGCCTCCATTTCAGTTGTGTCGGTACGTACTGATGATCACAGCATGGTTAAGAACTGTCCAATACCCCACGTTGTTGAACAGTATGTTGAGCCGAGTTCGCGGCATCGAGGCGGGGTAGGTAGGGTTAATCTTCTGATATATATTTATAATATATATTTTTTAATTTGAATGAAAACGTACCTTCTGCTCCAGCTCTGCTTAAACTCTTCGATCTTCTGTAGTGTTTTAAGAGCACAGCATTTTTGATAATTGAGCTCATGATGTGACTTTATTGGCCTTTTTGGGTAAGTAACGTCGTGTGTCGTATAAACAGTAACGAGTAGCGACATGTGGCACGGTCTGCTCCATTCTCCCCTCGAAATAGTATAAACCACTGGGTCTCGTTTTGTGTGTTTATCCATTATTCACTTGAGAACGATATTGTCCTTGGTATTTTAGACTTTGATTCTTGATGGCGAAAATATGGATGTGTGACCGAATTCTAGATGCGACGTCTTTATCCACCCCCGCCAGGAGATTTCTTCGTCTTGGCTTTCCTGGGCGCGTTTACCTCACGCTACTTCCTTTTGGTGTGTCCTCCCCTCCCCTCCTAGACGGCTTCCCCGACGGGCCCGGGCCGCCCCGAGTCCCCCGTCTACACGAACCTCCAGGAGCTGAAGATCTCCCAGGCCCACCTGCCCCCCGCGCCCTCCGGCTCCCCGCTGCACACCTTGGGCGACTGGGAGACGTACAAGGACCCCAGCGGGCGGCACTTCTACTTCAACAGGGCGACGCAGGAGCGCACCTGGAAGCCGCCACGCGCCCGGGACGCCAGCAGCAGCGGCAGCACCGGCAGCAGCCGAGGGGAGGCTCACGCCCCGGGGGACCCCGAGGTAAGGGGGTGACCCCCACGCATGTGCGCGACTTATACCCCCGCCCGGTTTCGTTTTTTGTTTTGGTGTTTGCCTTTAGCCGAGCACTTTCTGGAGCGTTTTTACGCACGTTGCCTTGATGAACCCCCACGTCTCCCGTCTCTGTGGCCGAATCTATTCATCTCATGCGACCGAGCCGACAGGTGGAGCCGTGTATCGCAACAGCCGCCGTTTAATTTCCGGTTTCGTTAGGTCAGCACAAGGTACAGAACGTGAGTGAAGATCCGCAAATGTACAGAAGGCGGAATAAATACAACTATGTCCCTGACTATATTGATACATAACGTAACATAACATCATCACTTTATTAACCCTTTACAATTTCTTGCATTAGGAATTATCTTTTCACATACCCCAGCTTGCTCTCCATGAGACACACAGACAGGGAGAGAGTCTGGGGTCAGAGAGCAGGGTCTGCCATTGTACGGCGCCCCTGGAGCAGTTGGGGTTAAGGGCCTTGCTCAGGGGCCCAACTGAGTAGAATTTCTCTGCCGGCTGCAGCAACATTCCAGCCACAGGCACAGATCCTTAGCCACAGAGCCACCGCTCCGCCCCAAATACTGTGTAAATACCGTGGGAAGGGTGTTGGGTAGGACTTTTCCTACCCAGGCACAACCATTGTTTTTCTGCTTGTGCGTAAACGAACTCTTCTCCGATTAATGAGTTATGCATTTGAGCTAAATTGTTTTTTTTCCTGCATGTATGCGACAGGAACACCTTTGAAACAAAGCGAAAGTCTGCTTGTGTTGTGGTACACTTTTAAAACCTCGGAACATCCTGCATTAGTGGTCTCTTTCTTCGAGATACTACAGCTCGCCCGTCTCAGTACAGGCAGCGACACTGTTTTTAAAACGTATTCTCAAGCGGCAGAATTAAGAAAAGGCTCTTACGTTGGTATAGTTTTTTTGGGGGTACTACAGACGGTACGCTTCAGACTAGTCACCCGCTACCCCACACTGACACCTTGTGGCCAGAGAGTTTACAGTATTGCTGGTGAGAGGAGACCATCCTGTAGTGGGAATATGCTTCTGAACTGAAGCACAGGGAAAGTCAGAAGCCCCATCTGTAGGATTCTGCTAGGTCAAAGATAAGGTGAGGACGATAAGGAATTAAAGAGTTTTTAAAGGAATAAACTAAAAGTTTTGAACTTTTATGATGGGTTATATTTCCCTTTGTCTTCTAGTTTTATTTACCAATCAGGTCAATATATGTCAGACCCTGACTGGCTGAAAGGAACATTTTGAAGAGGATAGCGTAAGAGTGTTGCTTATGCTGCCTGAGAACTTCTCCTCTGTACCAATATCATCGGCAGGTTTCACAGATTGTTTTCTTTACAGTGGCACTCGGTTATCCCTAGCGAATTAACTATTGCACTCGGCACTGAATCCGAAAAGTAAATATAATGGAAGTTTATTTTTTCCCCCTGTTGTAGCATGAATAACTGAATTTGCTACTTGGAGTAGCATGCTTTGAAGTCCCTTTCCCTGTGTAGTCCTCCCCAGTTATAGACCTCTGACTGCCTTTCTACCATAATTCCCAGCATGGTGAAACGTGGGATAGCTGACTGTTCACTCTTTCCTCCAAATCTCTCTCCTGCTGAGCAAGTGCATGTCTTTGCTTTTCAGGTGACGGGTGCCACATCTGATTTATTTGGATCTTTTGGGGATTTCTCCCGGGGGGGGTGGATTGGGTGTTTCTTCACCTGGAGGGACGTGTGGTTTCCGCAAATCAGAACCTTGCCCTGTCCGAATCACAACGCCTGTCTCTCTTTCCCCTTTTTGCTGTCGTTTGTAGCCCCTCTCGTCCGAAGAGAACTGCCACAGCACTTATTCCAGCCAGTCAGATAGTCAGTACGGGTCTCCCCCCCGCGGCTGGTCTGAAGAGCTGGATGAGCACGGGCATACCTTGTATGTCAGTGAATATACTAACGAAAAGGTACTGGGCTCTGTTCTTTTCCCATTCCTCTCCTTTCCATTCCATCTTTCCCTGCACTGCGTGCGTCTTCATCAGCAGTCAAGAGATGTGCGGAAACTGAACTCTTAATAATCGGTGCATTTTTATTTACTCATTTTTGATTTGTGGTCTGTGTGGAATGGGTTGAAAATTCACATTCGTTCCCCTCCCCGAGCTTACTCTTATATTCCACTTATAAACCACCCTGCTGTGCACGTCTTTCTGGCCAGCTGTCCTCCCTCCTGTATCACTGTATCCCTCCGAAGGTAAGTTGGCAGTGATAACCTGTACAGAGCTCACATCTGTTTCCTGCTGGGGGTTTCCCACCTAGTGTTACCACTAGAGCAGGAAAGGGCGATCGTTCTAGTCACGAGCTCGTCACTTTTTTCTGAGAAGACGCACTTGATCGCTGATGTATATGCTTATATCAAGGGTATGAATTCTGAAATAAGAGGAAAAATATTTTACTCATACAGATAATGGGCCTCAGTCTGAATGCGGTAAAAATGATTTTTTTCCTGTTTTTAATAACTGGCTACCTGATAAAAAAGTTTGAATATAAATCCAGTGAAATGTTGCAGACTTGATGTGCTGTGTGAGGAAAAAAATCTGAGTAGACATGTAGAAAATAAGAGTGATATCTTGAGCAAACAGGTTACTGAAAGGAAATGCAAAGTTCTCAGAGCACTGGAAAGTTCTTTAAAAGTAATCAAATGAAAACATTAGTGATCCTACATAAATATGGGAATGTTAAACAAGGCGACACAAAATTTGCCCTGTCTGATTGCAAGTTAATCAGCTGTTGAATTCACAAGAGATGGACTGGGTCACGTCTTGGGTGGCTGTTCAGTCCACTTGTGTCTTTTGGAAATGTACTGTCTCTTTTTTTGCCAAGAGAGACGGGGCCCTTCATCATCCGATCTTGTCCTTCCTGTTGCTGTGTTCTCAGTTCAGGGATCACTCCAGTCAGAGTTTTGTGCCTTGTTAAGGATACATCGGGCGATTAATTGATCAGGGCAGAAATGTCTCTGTTTCACATGTGATGTTACTGCATTTCTGTGTCGGACCCCGTGAGTCGTTTTTGTATATCCCAGAGTCGATTTCAAAACACATTGGTCTAGATCGCCAACAGGCTCAGTCACTGAAATCGAGAGCAGCATTGTTGATCTCGGCTTGAGGAAGAAGCAGACTAATCTGCCTTGTCATTACATGTTGCGAAAACGACTTTATGATTCAGTACGTCTTGGAAACTGCAGTGCAATTGTATTTTAATGTTTTCCACAAGGTGCAGTTTGTCCTTCTAATCTCTGAGTTCTAATCTGTGAGCTCGTTCATAAGTAGGTTCAGCCTATGAGAGCTAAAACTGCGATTTCTGCTCATTGCATTTGGAGCCTTTACGCATTTACCCCTAGATCATATCAGGTGTCACTGATAGCACTTTATGGCTTCTACACCATTCATTTCCTGTAAGCGCTTTTTAAAAATATTTAAGTTTTAAAGCTGCAAAGATGTATATATTTTATCTAATATTTTGCGCATGTAGTCAAATGCAAGCTTTTAGTTTACAAACCTGTTTTAATCTAATTAGATTATTCTGAGTGGGTAAGTAAGTTGAAGACTTGTATAAAGAACATTTAGATGTAATAAAAGCCACTTTATTTGATAAAACGACTGGTTTGTGATTGTTGTCACTGTGATAATATTTTTTTGCACAATAAGAGAAACTTGTCTAGTGGCAATTCAAGTAATCTCAGATGTAATGTTTCTTTCCTTTGTTACAAAAAGGGTCAAATTAAAATGGGCACTTTTACCCATTTTGTAGCTTTGCCAGTTTTTGTAGCTTATTTTATTATTTAAATATCTGTAACATATATGAAGCATGTTCACCACATCCTTGTGTAATAATCCTCATGAATCTGTATTTATTTCCAGTGGATAAAGCATGTTGATGATCAAGGCCGCCCGTACTACTATAGTGCTGATGGCTCGAGGTCTGAGTGGGAGTTACCAAAAGTGAGTCAGCTAAGTACAAAGAATGACCACACAGAAACAACTGGAGTAGGTCGCCTTGCCGAATGCAGAGAGATCAGACATAACTAAGTGAAAATCACAAGTCAGGTGGTTGTACAAAAACTTATTGAATTGGCCTTTTGAATATTGTCCACAGCTGAGCCCTTTCCGCTATTCGGTTTACAATCTACCCAGGGGTCAGCTTTTCTGTTCTAGTGTTTGTGTAGGCAGAATGATCTATTCCTGTGATTGAACTTTTTTTTGCAGATGCAAGTGACAAAATACGTAACTCTTAAGAATAGAAGAGTTATTCAAAATGTTAAAATATTTACTTTCTGGCATCTGCTAAAAGAAAAAGTTTAATGAAATGATGAAAAACAATTGTCATGTTTAAGTTGCACTTTTTAAAAAACAACTTCAATAAGGAATTTTAAAACTTGCGTATTTGTTTTGCTTGGCTTTGTCATTAAAAGATTTTAAGCAGTATAAAGTGCCAGCTTTATAAACATATAATGAAAGCATTATTACACTAGTTGTGGGAGTCAAATACTCAACTTAGTGATGGTTAATGGGTATTGTTACTTTTAATTGATAGCTATTTCAATTAGAAATAGAATAGATAGAATTGAGTCATGGATGACTACTGTACTAAATGTAGGTAATATATACATTGAATGATTGTACAGTAAAAAGTTAAAACAGCAAATAAAAACAGCTTGTAAGTAAAAAAATAAAGATGTGAATCAAATATGTTTGACTGTAGGAAGTCTAACCAAAAACACCAGCAAAAGGTTTCCGTCTTGTTTTGTTTTTTTTAAATATTGGGTACAGAAGCACTTCATTGCTTTTTTAAGCCTTTGAAGAACTAAGCTTTGTGCAGATCCTCCCCCCTAGATGCAGATGCTGACAATATCGTGGCTCATTTAAAAAGAGAACAAAAAGAGAATCAAACCTAATGAAGGGCTTTTACTTATTTGAGGTCTGAACCCAGCCACGCAGCATCACATTGACCAATTACGCAGGACTTTACCGATGCATGCAGATCGCCCTTTTCACTAATCTCTCTAGCAAACAGCTAAATTAGGTACAGCTATAATCTGATTAAGGTTAGTCAAGGCCAGAAGCGCTGGGAGGCGTTGAGTCTCCATCCCCAAGAGTAAACTGGGCTTGCAGCCGCCTTCATGTGGCACCAGATCAGGTGCCCATAACAAATCTTAAGAGGGGTGTTTTTCTCCTATGGTGTTCTGGTCCATGAAAGGAGAGGTACTGCCTGTCTGTATTGCGTGGCCTTTGTGCAGTTTCATTTGGTGGTTTACCTCGGCACACCTCTGACCAGCTGTTCCTTCCCTCCTCTCTGTGCAGTATAACCTCTCGCCGCCGCAGCCTGGAGACATGCCCAAAAGCAGAAGTCTGGACAGGAAGCAGGTTGAGCCTATAGTGTTAACAAAGTGGAGACACAGCACCTATGTAGCAGATTTAAGTGACAAGGTAGGAGAGTGCGACTCGCTTGTAAAATAATAGTGAAAATGACGTGTGTCCACTATGTACTGCTGGCCTTGTACACGTCACAGAAGCCTGTTCCTCGGCCTGTCAGATGCCACCTTTTTTATTACCACCGGAAAAAGACCCACGTTCTTCACACATAAATGGATTGTAACCGAGGAGGAAGCCGGAGCAACAAGCAATAGCCTTTTCGTTTCATGTCGCTTAATACCGCGCAGTCTTGAGCACATAAACTAAAACTAGTAATTCTGTATCAGAAATCAGCTCAAAACAGTATAACCTTTAGGCTCACTTCCACTGTTGGGGCACAAGTGTTGTTCTTAATTTAAATACTGCAATCAATTACAGTTATTACTGATATTGTTGTTTTATATATTTATAGGCCACCACAAACTGTGATGCTGATGCTCATTTTGGATGTTGTTTGTGTATTGGTTTGGATTGGTCCCCGAGTCGTGGCACAGTGGTGCCGTGCTTAGGCATACTGGCAGGTTAATTGGCTTCTGGGAAAACTGGCCCTGGTGTGAGTGTGTGTGCCCTGCGTTTGACTGGCGTCCCATCCAGGGTATATCCTGCCTTGTGCCAATTGCTTGCCTGGATAGGGTCCAGTTTCCCCACAATCCTGTATTAAAAGGAGCAGTGTGAAAATGGCTGGATAGCCCCCAAGACCTGCAGTGAAACTTGAATTGCTGCCCAGAGACTTGCTTGAAAAGTAGGGACATGTTTTTTTTTTAAACCAAGTTAGATAAGGTTCCTCCTTTTCGAGTGAACGTTTCAAATGAAACATGCAAAATTCCTGCCTGGCGAAAGACTCCGTGCGTTAACGTACTTGCAGGTGGAGTGGTCTGAAGCGTCCAGCTCCTCTCGGACACAAACAGCGCTGCAGCCAAGGCCACAGTCTGCTCGCGTGCTAGAATCGGTCCCGAAGAGCGCGATGATGGTTGAAGGAGTTCAGTGCGGCAGGTGGCTCTGTGTAGGTTTTGTAGTGCTCCAGGAAAGAAGTTGCTCCAGGCAGGGGAAGGTAGTTATCGCCTCTGTCAGCAATGCCTGGGCCAGCAGAGAAGACGCAGTGATGGACATTGTCTTAATAGCCTGGCTTCTTCAAATACTCTTGATCCCCATTGCCGTGACCACCCAGAAATCCCATCAGAAGCACGTCTGAATGAAAGTGGGAAGGAAGGTCTTCCAACCTTTTTTATTTTTTGGTCTTGAATCTTTCTCTGTATAATCAAGGGTCTGAGTGTATCAAATGTGTCTTTGGTGACTCATTCGTGGTGCCATCCTTCATAGGCTACGATTGTGTTTTAATGGGAATTTCTGTTTTTTTTTTGCTAACCAAGCGGTTAACCGTTATATTTTTAAAAGTTGTTTGTACAAGGACATTTGTAAAATGCCATACTAAAGGGTTTCAAGGTGAGTGGTGCTTTCCATTCCTTTTGCTACTTGGCGCCCCTAAAGGTTATGATGCAAAATGGAAGCAATCATTTTATTCTAAACTCGTCTCCCACCCCTTTTTCAAGCCCTTGAAATGAGAAGAGCCAGTCTGACTCGGACATGGGAATGTAAAAGTGTTCACCTGTTTCAGGCACAGCAGTTCTGGAATATGTAGAAAATCAGAATAAACCAGTGCGATATATACTGCTCTTGCCCATTGTGTAGATCGTTGTTTTCAAAACAGTCCTGGACCTTTTTAATCCCAAAAATAGACGCAGTTAAGGCAAGCAGATAAAGCTGCAGGATGTGTTTACAGTGTCCTGAGTCACAAACGGACATGTGACAGGAGATGAGTTGCAAATTCATTCTGGCAGGGGTATAGGATGTTGTTCTCCATGAAAGACCTCAGAGTTCACAGCTGTTTGCCCTGTAACTCAGCTCCTCAAGGCCAAAGCTAAAGGGTAGCCAGGAGATTCTCGTTCCTGTAACTGCTGTGCTACGGTTTTCAGTAACAGTGGTGAGTGCACTGGTTTCCGTAACCAAAATCAGTGCTCTGGTTCACTCATGCTCGAGCATACAGGAGGCTTTTCAGTAACTTGGACCAGTCCCTGTTGTTATGAGAGGTCTGTTATTGCCTTACGAGTTGAAACTGGATGCTCGAGAGATGCTCTTTTGGTTCTGTTTCAGTTGTCTGTCAAACACAGACGTTATGCTTCTGAGCACCATACAGGGACCGCTGGTCCTCCGCCGTACCCTGAACAAGTTAGTACTCTGCCCTGTGACTGTCCTGTCTTTTCACCTTCAGTAAATCGTATAAATTAACAACAACAACTACAATAACGATGAATCATTCTGCTGATCTTAACTGGCAGCGATCAGGTGGTCAATCAAGCTAATCATCCTTGTTGCTTGCCAGAACTAATTGAGCACTGTCCTTATTGATTCGTTAGTTTTTTCTGTACTGTGCAGAAAAGCTAATGCTCTGAACTGTTATGCATTAAAGGTGCAGCATGCCTTCCACAGCCTAAGCAAGTGCCTTCAGTCTCTTATTCAACTACAGTAGCTAATTGGGGTTCCAGTTAGCTGAGCCTGCGGCAGTTTCTGCTTTGTCTTTTATTTAACTAAAAATTTCAGAAGGCCTCAAAGTTCTTAAAGCCAATCCATGACGGATGCTAATTGAGCTTGGTTTGGATAAGTCATCGGACGTTCAATGAAGGTCTAAGGCTGGAGCGTTCTGAAGTACAATTCAGAAACATCTATCTTAAAATTTGAAACAAGTTCTTGGTGAAGGGAATGCTGCACTCTTAATCACTTCAACAATTTACCTGCTGTCATTGTCTCGTAAACCACGCTCAAGTTATCGTTCCATTTCATGTGCCCTTGCTTTGGTGAGTTATTGTTGATTTTGTTCTCTTGTGGTTTCCTGCTCACTTATTAATGTTTGTTGATGTTTCCATTGTCATTCTCATTCCTAGGAGTCTCCGACAGGTCCCAAGCAAAGCTTTCCCGATTCCGACTCCTGCCCTTCATCTCCCAAGCATCCCACAGCAGTTAGTATCCTCACTTTTCTCTGGCCGCCCTGACCTTGGGGCTCTGTTCCATTAGTTCCATGGTCGTCCTGGCAGGAAGCTGGGCACCGTTCCCAATCTTGTACTCTTTTCCCGCTCCATCTTGTGGTACTCCAGCTCAGCTAACAAGATTTCCACTCCCTTTTATGTATCTGCTCGTGGACAGCTTGAATCCTAGAGAGGCTCTTACATTTTTGTGTGCACAGGCTGAATGATGTATGCTTGAGAGTTGGAGGCCTTTCAGCGGGTCATGTTCTGCACAGTGTGAAGTTTGGGTCATAAGTCATTTCGGTGGTTTCCAGGGCTGTGGAACTTGTGCAAAAATGTCACAGGTCCATTCTAGAGCACATCAGACAGGTCCTTTCCTCCAAAATTCCTTATTCTTTGGGATGAACCTAGCTTTTCCCTTAAGGCCAGTCTGATCTCCTAGGATTGCATTCTTTTTACTGACTGATATAGGTGAAGCGTCTGCCTTAACAATCTGTTTTTCTTGGTTCAGTTTGTCATTTTCTGCCCTTTACATTTCACTGTTGACCATCTGTTTTTGCATCACAGACTTCAGAGAAATGTGGAGTACTAAATGTGACCAAAATCACTGAAAATGGGAAGAAAGTAAGGTGAGTTTGATGAAACCTACAATCTTTGTGTATTCTCATGCATACTGCATGTTAAGAGGATAGTGGTGTGATCCTCACTGCAGTAGGATGTGCAGATGTAGACCATTTATAGTGTTAAAGAATTAATGGGTAAAACACATCTGTTTCACTATAGTCACATTGTTAAAAAGTATTCAAATACCTTCTTAAAGGGGAACTATAACTGATTTTATTTTTATTTCAGGGTTTATTAAGAATCAGCATTAAAGTGTGCATTTCAAACCACATAAATCTGAAATGTACACAGTAACTTGTAAAAACTTCAATTTACATCACAAAATGGAAACAATTTCCGGGTACGCACAGAACCATGTTGTGCTATTCTAAACGAGGCAACAAAACGTCTGATGAGGTGAAGCAGCCTTATAACATTGTAAGCAAGCAGGCTTGTGAATATCTCTTTTAATCCTAAAGAAATATTGCTCTCAATTTTGTTGGTTTTGCAGACAAATACTACTTATTAACTCTGCATGCAGATCACATTGGAATATCTCTGTGGTGCATGTCAGTTGCACAGCCTGTACTTATTCCCTTGTACATCACATTATATTAGTCATTACAGTGACTAGTGAGCAGGAAGGGCCACATCACGTCACAATTTGTGGGAACTCGCACTTTCAATCATGACGAGACCAGGGGTTTGTAACAACATGGCAACGCACGATACTTGTACAAAGTTCACGATTTTGTGCTTAATTCGACATTTGTACATTTTTATATAACGTCAGTGGATTTGTTTTGTTACTGATAAATACTATTCATTTAAATACTGATCTGGGAAATTGGAACTGCAGTTCCTCTTTAATTTTACAGTTAATGTTATGACTCGGGTTTCAAGCCTTTTTTCCGTTGAATTGTTTTAAATGGGGAAAAAATTGTATTATATATTTAAAAAAAAAATAAAGCAGAATAATGAAATTGAGGCAGAAATCACATTTTTTTTATAAAAATGAAGCAAGGGCAATCTTTTAGAGATAATCCCCTGTTCTAGTGCACCTTTCCGTGGAAGAATTCCAGCTTTCACTTGTATGGAGACAGTGAAGGGCAGCAACAATTTTTATATTCGGCTCCAGATAGGAAGGACTGGTACATTACCTGTATGAATCCTTTTTGATTCATTAAACAAGTAGAGAAATGAATACTAAAAAGCTGTGCTGTTGTAACACTTGGAGAAATAAGAATAAAAAATTAAAAGAAATAGACTTTCCATTTTTAAATGTTTGCAAATAAAACAGTGTTACACTACTCATACAGGCGTACAGTATTGGTTTTAGAATTAACCAATACTGTGTGTGGGGTCAGATTTTGAAATTAATTTTTTCACAGGTCCCGCTTTTTTCTGTGTGCACAGACAACTGCACAGATTTCAGTCGAATGAAGGTTTGGTTTTTAATAAAATGCACAGATGAATATTTGAAGGGGAGATTAGACTAAATTGATTAAAATCCCCAAATCATTGCAGATTGTTTACAGCCAAGTAACCCCTATTTGTATTATATACAAGTACAGGAAAAATGAGTCATGATACACGTGAATGAAATCTAAGATTAATAACAGAGAGTCAGTGATCTGATGTTTATGGTACTGGGATTAGCAGTATGTAAACTGGCAGTGCAGTGTAACAATCAATTTTGCATAATTAATAATGTTGTATCAGCATGATTACACATGGATAGCAGACACTACAATAACTTTTGGATCTAGTAGTTGCAAACCTACTGCAAATAAATCTCCATATATCCTAAGACTTTTTCCCCATGAACACTGAACAGATTTAGACTAAAAATATTGTAATATTGCAATCCTTCTGTAAAGGAAAACCGCACACCCGTATAAATAGATGCTCTGACAACTGGGTCTTCCCGAGGAAGTGTCTGATAATGAAACCACTCGATTTCCTTTTTTCATTTTTAATTTGAGCTCAGCTAAAATGTCAGGCATCTCTGCGAGGAAGTAGAAGGCTGTTAGCTATTGAAAAGCTGCCCAGTCTTCTCGATAGCCTTCAGAAGGCTGCGGATGTTTCTTCTCTAGGTGCACTCATCTGGGTAAAGTGCAGCTACAGAGCATGCCCAGGTCCTGCCAGGCAGCTCAGCAGGTCCCTGGTTGCTCCTTTAGACGTGGCCTTTAAACGTGCTGATAACTGGTACGGTTTCAAGATGAAATGACCAAACAAATAGTCACATTACAAGAACCATACAGAGCACTGACAAGCTAAATCAGGGGGTATTATATCAAATTTGTTTAATGCATTATTACTGTATTGCAAGAGCTTTTTTTTCACCCTTATTTTTACGGAACTATCTTCTGTTACTAATGGCCCAAAAGGCATGACTCAAATTGGTCACGACGGGTCATGAAACAGACTCATCCCCCTTTTATATGCTCTCCAGTTGTAAATTTCACTCCTTTTACCTGCCCGGTTTTTTCCATGTCAGATTGAGTCTTGTTGATCTCTCATTCCTGGCGAACGGTACCTTGCGAGAGGTGTTCTGACCCAGACGGGCTTACCTGCTTCATTTCAGGAAGAACTGGACGTCCTCCTGGGCTGTGCTTCAGGGCTTCGCACTGCTGTTCGCCAAAGGTCAAGGAGGCGGAACCGGTTGGGTGTGTGTTCTTTTGTAAAATGTCAATTGTTTTATACTTCTGCTTTAGCGAAAATACTAGGCAATGCTATATAACCTCCACCCCTCCCAGAAAAACATTAGCAGGAATAAGAGTATTTATAGTGTTAGAAGCCATGCGTGCTGCCCATGTATCTAAAAGGGTATGTGATCGCCTTAATCATAAAAGCATAGGCTCCCTTCTGTTTCTTTAACCGTAGCATGTGCTAGTAATCAGTTTGATAAATGTGTCTTTCTGCAAGGTCTATTTTTCACTGTGGTTATAGTGGCTCAATAAAAAGACATATGAAGCAACATCAGATGTATCATAGCCTGAAGTATGAACGATGGTCAGAAGGAAAAGTCATGATGGGGAAAAAAAAAACTATGGTGCACCTTATAGCAACAATATTTGCATTTTCATCTGTACTGGGAGCTGAATGCAAGGTTTTAAAAGTGACTGAACAGTGTATTCGAGAGACTTGGCTGGAATGCATCAGGGCCTGAAAAGGCACAGGTAACCCAGGGGGCTTTCATTAATGGAGTAATGTCTGGCTCTTGGCTTCTATCGTGCTGTGCACCGTTCCTTGTTTGTTTTTTTGTGACATCACCACTTTTCTTCCCTCTTCCCATGAAGTCATACTACCGCAGGGGCTCGATCCCTGAGCTCCTCCTCTCGCTGTTAAGCAACTGGAAACGCTCAGTGAAGCAGCGCCCCGCTGTCTCCTATGTATACTCTGGCCCTGTCACAGCTGCCACTGTATGTGTTCTCTCTGCATGCCTCCTCCCACTAGGAATGCCTTCTGTCTCTTCGCCTTTGACCTTTTGGACTGGGTTCAGAGGGGGTTTTGAGTGACCTTCCCGATTGAATCATTTAGAGATGGTTACTTGAAATCAGTCAGCTGTGTGTTCACTCGTGCCATTTCAGTGCAAGGTTGCAGGTTTTAACCTTTTATATCCCGTACCCAGTAGCAGTAGTGCAGGTTGCTTATTGGAGGTGTCTGTCGGCAGGCTCTGTGGAAACAGCCTTGATTAAAGGAAGCACTCTCTCTTAGAAGTACAGAAAGTCAAAAACTACTTTATAAAATGTGGAAGTGAAACTGAAGTCTGGTTCCAAGTAGCCATTTCTGATTGACGTTCTTGAAAATAATCCTGGTTGTGTGGTGGAGGGGTGTGGACTGGCTTGGCACTCTACTGTTAACCACACAGCAGAGTAAAATAACAGGGTTGTCAGCAGAAGGTCACTTGTGAGTGAAAAACAATGCCGTCGGAGGGTTTTTTTAATTCGGCAGAATCCATAGTTCTTATTTGGCAAGGATAGTAGTGGCTGCAGTGTTTGTCCGTGTGCAAATGCATGATTTCAACAGTGTTTACTCTTCAGCTGGCTGCATGAAGCTGACATTCATTTTGCTTTATGTATGTGCCCTGCAGAATGCAGCCTGCAATTTATAAAGAATGTTAATTCATTGTTGAGTGCTTAGGCTTGTGCTTCTCTTCAAGAACTATGTGCCGCTCTTTGTATAACGAAGGTGGCAAATGCGGAGATTATTCTGGTCCGAGTGGCCCTCAATGGAATATTTATACACTACACAATCCGTAACAGGTCGTAAAGGGCTCCAAACTCTTTGACAACAAGCCTCAGATAGAATGACACTTCACTTCACCGTAGCCTTTGACACACCGAGTTCTGTCGTGTGAAGCTGCTGCCTTTTTAACCCTGGGAAGAGGAGGCAGACTCACACCACCCTCACCTTTCACCTTATTGGAAACCTGTAGGCTTCGTGATTCCGGCGCTCCGAAAAAAAACCCCAAACACGGTGCAGAAAAACCTTTTGGAGATGCTAGGTGACTTTAAAAAGGAGACATTTTGACTTCACGTGCTCCTTAAGTATACTTCATTTAGCCTGGTCTATTACTGGTTTCCCCAGAATCTGTCTGATGAACAATTAAAAACCTTTAACATCTCTTGCATATCACTGGGGTCGAAACTTGTGTAATCTTCCCAGGCTTATAATGTGTTTACTAAGAAATTAACTTTTCTCTCCTTTGATTAATTAAAATTGTACCAAAACCTGCAGATTCAAAAGCGAGTCAGTGCAATAAAGCTCAGTTTGAAGAAGTCATATTTGGTGCCTTTGAGTCTCCTGAAAGAATTCTAGTTTTTCTTTTTGTGCCTTAAAATAAATTGTGCAGTTTCATATATGAAGACCGATGAACTACCTGAAAATATTTTTTAAAGGGATATCATAACAGCCTTTTAGGATTTTTCCGTTTTGTTTACTGTTGCATTAAATACATTTAGAGGAAGAATGATGGTGGTTCATTCTATTTATTCATTGTAGAGAAATTGTAGTGATTTCTCTGGAATGCCACGGTCTACCACCGCTTTGCAATGAGTTGGAAACCCCAACGTATTGATGTTATAGACCTTATGCACAGTTATTATGAACACATTTTTTTCGGAAAAGTAGGGTACTATACATTTTTATCCGTAGTCTTTTTTTGAATCTCATGTCCCTGAAATGTGTGGGATCTTTTTCAGCCCCCAAATGTAGCATCTGACTTTTGAAGTGTCTAGTAACTAGAATGTTTTCTGACTTCTTTAACAATCTTGAAGGTGGAATACTTGAAAGCAGCAAGTGAACTTGAGCTGTAGCTGTCCTCCTAAATGGAAGTTAAGATCCATTTATAAAATCTTTCATATAAAACTAACTTTTTAAAATTGTATGTATAAGTATTTAAAATAAATGCGAACGTCATGCCTACCCTATTTAACTCCTCACCTATGTGAAACTTAAGAGAAAGAGGAAAGATTAGTGGGAAAGAATGAATTTCCTACTCTGATCTGCCTTGACTTCAGCTGTAACTGTTTCTGTCTCAATGAATGAAACAGAACAGATTTCAGGAGGTCACCTTCTTTGTCAGATTTCAGTCATATCTTTGTTAGTTACTCGATGTGCTTCTGCTACCTGTCTTTGAGTGATTAAAAGTGTAATTTTAATAGTTTTTGTCAATTTGTGGATTTTGAAAGCACAATTGTTTCGGTTCTCAATACTTTACACATAAAATATACACTATAAATGTCATTCAGGCATTGGCTATAATAGTGATGTAACTTTTGAGTTAATGTTCAAAAAAGTAATTGTCCTTAAAAATCACTTAAGAGTGTCAGGAAATCACTATAGTGGTAAAAGATGCAGGGCAAATCAAAGTCCCTAAGTTTAACATTAATTTTGTCTCAAGTTACTGATGAGGTAAGCAATAGGTTTGAGGAGTGGACTTTTGAAAGTCAGATGGCATTTTAGTTTTTTTAAATTTTGATCCATCTGATTAAAGCAGGAAAGGCATCACACAGGGAACAGTTATTAGCAGTTGTGGTTTTGTGGTTGTGGTTTTGGTGGACATCAGGAACAGGTGGCCTTTAGACAGAGGACTTTATATCGAAGGTTATCACTTTTATCTGCTCCTAAGTTGTCTCGAATCAAAAAAGGGAAGAAAAGCTTAAGAAATGCCTTGAGTTTTGTGTATAAGGTGGCCATTTCTGCCGTGGGTCCTTGCACTGCTCCAGCGTTCTCCAGTTGGATTGTTCCTTGGTGGAGATGCTGGGCTCGTTTATGGGCTGAGCATGCCTAAGCATGCCTAAGGAACGCTGTGACTGCCGAGCGCTGGAGCAACTGGATACGGGTTTCTCGGAGAGGGTATCAGGGGACAGCTTGGTGGTGGTGAGGTTGGGTGGATGGGAGCAAAGGAGCATGGGCCTGCGTGGCTATTGGGAAGGTGCTTCATTGTGCCAGCTGCATTGCTCTTGGGAGAGGTGCGGCCGAAGGCATCGGTGTCAGCTATTTTCACTTCCAGAGTGAGCTCGAAAGGGCTACCTGCCGGATGCCATCTGTGTGCATAATTCATACCCTGTGGACAATAAATATATCCCATGCGATCAACTGGGAAATTTTTCTTTTTAAGGTTTAGTTGGTGTGTGGCATTTTATTGACTCTCCCCTCCCCAGCTGTTCTGTAAATCTGTGTGTGGTTAATTATGTTTTTTCCCTTCAGAAGTTTGGTGGTAATCAGTCCAAGCCTGAGTTCACTGTGGACCTCAGAGGGGCTTCTGTGGATTGGGCTTCGAAAGACAAATCCAGCAAGAAACACGTCATTGAGGTAAAGACCCCTTTCAAAAATGTCCTTCTTCTCTTTCAGTACTGCTGGAAGTAGAGGCTGTCAGACACAGGAAAACGTATTTCAAGTATTACATGATTTGGTCTTTTGAAGGGAAAAACAATGACATGTCTTGAGGTTGTTTTCCTGAATTGGTTGTTTTCTGAGGTTTTTTTGTATTTTACTGAAGCACTGATTATTTTTAAATTGCACTTCGGCACCCTCTAGTGCTCTAATCCTAAACTGCGTGGAAAGTTTTATTATCTGCCGTTTCAGAGTAGGTTGCTTCTGTTTTTTCTCTTAATTGAGTGGTTTGCATTTTTTTTCTCATTGTGTAAGAACTGAAGTTTGTTAAACAGGAAGAATAATGGCACTTCATGGTGAAGTAGGTAATTTCAGCTGTTGTGATTGTGGTGGACTAGTTGATATTCTCTTGCTGTTATAATAATCATTTGATGTTGCACTTAATGATTTGCATTGTTCTTTGTGGTAGGAACATTTTTAGAATGTCTTTATCCTTCCTTACATTTTCTACTTTTTAATTGCATATTCCGTTTTAAGATACTTGTGTGTCAATTACACTGTTTTACAGAATGTGACACATGTTGTGCCCCCGTAAAACAAAATCATTAGTTCAGTGTCTTTGAACTGCTTAAATCCTCTTGTTCCGTTTGTGGAACAAATTTGTCTAAAATTAAGAAAAGTGGGATTTTCATAAACAACAATAAAATTGTAGAACTAAATTGTAGACTAAAGTCATCTTTGAATACAACACAAACTAACAGATCTGTAAGAAAGAAGGAAAAGAATATCCCACTATCTCATTATTGTCCAAAAGTTCTTGTAGTAATTATTTGATGCTGAGATCACAGAGTAGTCTAGTTGAAAGTATTCATTCATTGTTAGTACTTACCAGAGTTTCTTGTCAGGATGAGGCTGGTATTTCACTGTCAGTTTAAGATTGAGGATTGGGAATTTGCAGTAGATTTCCATTGAAAAATGTATGGTTAATTCTGAAAGGGAACATTTCGCTGAAAGCTTTTTCAATTGTAATTTAAGCTTTGTTGTCCCATCGGGAAATAGTTTTTTTACAGCACACTCCCAACATAACACAATGACAGACAAACCTTTACCAACCAACATGCTACAATGTTACAGCAGGATAAGGGTAAAGATAGTTACGATACATTGCTTGAAAGATATTGCAGTGGGGATGAGAGATTTCATGTGTCTATTAGTCTTACACCTGGGGACACAAAGGTGTCTCCCAGACTGGGGAAGTGTGAACTCACAGTGGAGTGAGTGAGAGACACAATCCATGATACATTTTCCTTTCTTTGGCACCCTCTGTTTGTACAGGATACTTGAGTTTGACTAGTCTTTCCAGCCTATTCCAATCAATAGTACTGATGTTTCCAAACCAGCAAGTTAAACAGTATGTTAAGAAACGTTCAGTAAAAGACTTGTAGAAAAGTGTTAGGATGGTTCTGCCTACTTTAGTTTTTTAGAAAGAAATGTCTTTGTTGGCTGATTTTATAAATGGTGTCACAGCATTTGCCTCAACTCAGGTTTTTGTCTTATGACCAGTCCCAAGTACTTGTAGTCATTCTTGCTAAAGCTGCTAATGATCTCATGACAATATGACAATATTTGTGGTGCACTGTTTAAAGAGAATTCTATACTCTTTAATGGAAATCACAACATCCTGTTTGTTGGACATCTGTGGTACTGTGCTTAAATGGTTTAAATCAAACCTTGTTAATTGAGCTAGTTAATCACTGATTTGAACCTGGGTCATGTCACCTGGTCAGATGTGACTGGGATTCAAGGCCTTTTGTATCTTCACAGCTCGGGAGCAACATCTCAAAAGAAATCGGGGAGTTTGCGCATTAGGTGCATTTGAAGTCTAGCCTTAATACTTTTTGAGGAAGATTTTTATGTTGTTATATGGCTGCATTGTCTTCTTGACTCTGTTTGTAATGTGCTTTTTAAAGGTGCTATAAGATGAAGGTTTATTATTAGAAAGTAATGCCTGTTTAACCTTTTGGTTTTATGGTAATTCCGCTGACTAATTCCGCCATTTTCCACTGACTTAATATTGTATAGGAGAAGCACTGGTGACACGTTGGAAACATCAGGAAAAGCAAAAACCATATCCGCTGCAGAAATGTGTTCTCGCGTACATATAAATGCAGTATAAATGCCTACAGTTCAACTGTGCTCCTTCCAGAGTACACTTCAGAGTGCGAGGCTACGCTTTCAGATCTGGTTATCTCGAAATTTGTTTTTTCTTGTCAGCTGAAAACCCGTCAAGGAACCGAGCTCTTGATTCAGTCCGAGAACGACAGCGTTATCACCGACTGGTACAAAGCACTGGCAGAGACGATAAGCACCCATGTAAGTGTCATCGTATGTATATGTATCTGTGTGTAAGCTTGGTGACAATTTAGTCGTGTTTAATTTGGTAACACCTCTTTCTACAGTGCTAATAATAATTTCTTAGACTTATATGGTGCTTTTTTAGGACTCGAAGCGCTTTACAGGTAATGGGGACTCTTCTCCACCACCATCACAAATGTGCAGCCCCACTTGGATTGTTGCAACAGAAGCCAAAGTGCACCAGTACTCTCACCACACATCAGCTCTCAGTGTGGAGGAGAAACGAGTGATGAAGCCAGTTCATAGATGGGGATTATTATAAGGTTATGATTGGTAAAGGCCAGGGGGAAATTGGCCAGGACACCAGGGTTAACACCCATACTCTTTTCGAGGAATACTTTGGGATTTTGAATGACCACAGAATCAATTTTACACCTCACCTGACAGTGCCTTTTTTTTTTGCAGTATAGTGTCCCCTTCACTATACTGGGGCATTAGGAACCACACAGACCGCAGGGTGAGCACCCCATACTGGCCCCACTAACGCCTCTTTCAGCAGCAACCTCCCCCTTCCCAGGAGGTCTCCCATCCATGTACTGGTCAGGCTCACACCTGCTGAGCTTCAGTGGGCTGCCAGTTGTGAACTGCAGGATGATATAGCTGCTGGCATCATCTCTCACAGGGATTTAGCAGGTGTACCAGCTTAAATGTGAATTTAGCATTTATTTATAAGCAACAGACGAAGAGCACACACTCTCATGGCAAAGGGTCTACTGTGCTTAACTCAAATATCAAGTCTTGGGTATGTCGTGCAGTCACAGGCGTCTCGAGGGCAGACCCAGCTGGTAGAGGGGGTGCTGTAAAGTCACTCATCGGGGCAGAAAAGCAGCTCTTTGTGTCCTGGCGTCCTCAGGGTCTGGATTAAAAAGCCAGCAGCAAAATGCGGCTTTGTCCGACCCTCAAGAGGAATGCATGCCGTCGTCATGGAGTAGAACAAAAAAATGTTTCACTAAACTCGCCTCTTGTGCTGTGATGGTAGCCATTTTGTTTTCTACTTAAGCAGCAGTCAAACTCACTGCTCTAAACATTTGGCTGTTTAAATAAAAGGCAGGTACGATTTTCAGGCCTTTATCCTGGGCTTTTGTAGAAAAAAAGGCTTCTGCCGGAGCCCTACTTCTCCCCAGTCGGTTGCGTCGCTGACTGTTAGTTTGCCGATTTGTGTTCGCGATGGTTCGCATTGCTGCCTTCCGAGCGCCGGGGTCCAGGGTTCACTCCCTGCCCTGGGAGACAATCCGTGTGGGGGTTGTAATATTCTCTCCGTGTTTGGATGGGTTTCCTCCAGGTTTCCTCTGGTTTCCTGGTAGGTGAATTGGTGTCTGAGGAAAATTGGCTCTGGTGCGTGTGCCCTGTGATGGACTGGCATCCCGTTCAGGGTCCCTTGCACTCATTGCTTGTCAGGATCGGGTCCGACTCTCCTGCTACCTTGCAAAGCAGTTGGAACACTACCATCACTGTAGCAGAAACGCATGACGTTGGCAACTTCGAGATTTCCCTTATCATCCCATATTAGCAGCGTGAGCAAATAGTAAATGAATGAAAGGAAGAATGTATAGTATTCTGTTACTGTCAAATTGTGAATTAATGGGATTTTCTTTCTATTGCTGTGCGACTGCTGTACAATGTAACAGTGTTATTTAGCACAGATCTGTACATTATTAACAGATTTTTGTTTTGACTGAATTTTTGTTTTATAATAATGTACACTTTAGGATAAGAAACTTGAATTGCTTTCATTTTATGCAAAAACAATGGTTTTACTGAGCTTTCTGCTGTGCAACACAAAGGACTGTTCTCACACAAGGGATAGAAGAAACTACTCAATTACCATTCTTGTTGAGCTGACGAACTCGCATGTTGTCACTCCTATTAATACATTATACAACAAAATGCAACAGTTCTTTCTTCTTGACATCAAAAAAGGAACCGATTTGTTAAACAAACACTAGGGGGAGTATTTTGTACACCACAAATAAATAGAAATATAATCACAAATATAAAGTACCATCATAACATTTGCATAATTGGTAGATTAATTGATTAGATTATCCTGCAGATTGGGGCGATTTATTTATCCTAATTAGAAGGTATATTATACTAGAGCTCCTTGTAAATGTAATGTTTGTGTAAACACTCTTCATGATTCACTGTTTCCGATTCAGTTTAAATTTGTCTTGCTTGATCATTGTTCCGGCAGCAGCAGCCTCTGAAAATATTTTTGGAAGGTGACATTTCAGACCTGATGTGGGCAAGCACCTCTGTGGTGCTCCTTTTACTGTCCCCCTCGTTTCTTTGCCTTTGCCTTCGACAAGTATTGTCCGATTCTCTTGCTGTCCGGATACCTTTTCATTCCTTAAAATGAACAGAAGAAATGCAGCTTGATCATATAGAATTGACTTCACAGCACGGGCAGCAGGGAGGCGAAGAGGTGACAGTGAAGTGCAGGTGGTACAAGCTGGTCCTTTCAGGTAAGCCTTCTGATAACCCTGCTCTCGGTGCTGTGCAGGCCTGGGAGTCGGATGAAGCCATCGAGGAGGACATGCCAGAGTCCCCCCGGCCAGAGAAGCAGGACAAGGACAAAGAGAAGGACAAGGAGAAGGACAAGGACAAAGAGCACAGAGACTCCAAGAAAGGACGAGGTGAGAGCCGTTTCAGCATGGGGAGGGTGGCTCTGCTTTACTCCAACGTCTCTGTTTTCTGCAGAAAGACAATGAGGCAAAAACAACAGGGATCGTGACCAGGAACTGTTTCCATACACTCAAATGTTGCTCAAATACAGTCCAACATTTTGGGAATTACAGTGTCCTCCAAATGACTGGGACAGCAGAGGTCAAAACTCTTATTGTTTTACTGTCAAGCTATTTGCATTTAGAACTATGAATTTAATAGTTCAGGTGGGTAGCTGCGTCAGCGTGCGTAGGCTGCAAAGGAACAAGTAATAGGTTTATTCCATGCTGAAAAAAAGAAGAAAGAGAACACAACGTTTCGGCCGTGGAGCCTTCTTCAGGTGAAGAAGGCTCCACACCTGAAGAACCTTCACACCTGAAGAACCTTCACACCTGAAGGCTTCACACCTGAAGAAGGCTCCACGGCCGAAACGTTGTGTTCTCTTTCTTCTTTTTTTCAGCATGGAATAAACCTATTACTTGTTCCTTATGAATTTAATATGCTTAATTCAATAATATATACTTATTTTTGGTTAATGCCATGCATACATTGGCTCATATTAGCACCAGACATATTTTGTGTTCACCCCAATGATTTTACATGACAATTTTGATTTGATTTTAAGTATCGAGACTCTTAAATTCACTTATAAACCTCAGTATTTGGTTGCATATCCCTTTGAGGCCATAATTACATGAAGTAGTTCAGGTGGGTAGCTGCGTGAGCATGCGTAGGCTGCAAAGGAACAAGTTAAAGGTTAATTCCATGCTGAAATGAGAAGAAAGGAAACAGCGTTTCGGCTGTGGAGCTTTCTCACACCCAAAGAAGGCTCCACAGCTAAAACGTTGTTTCCTTTCTTCTCTTTTCTCTTTTCAGCATGGAATAAACCTCTAACTTGTTCCTTCATAACTACATAAAGTCAATGACCGATTAAGCTCAACGAATTCTTTGTATAAACTTGTGTGATGCCTTGCTGCAGCCATTTTGAGGTTTTGCCTATTTATTTAGCTCTTCAAATTGTTCTTCAGCACATAAACCACATACTCAGTTGGGTTTAAAAATATAGAGGGACCTGGCCACGGACTTGAGATTTTCCACTTTTTTCTCTCCCAGTGAGCACATAGAACTCATTTTGCTTCCATCATCAGCTGAGAGCAGTGCAACAGACATGCGTGCCTGGGCCAAGACATTACCTCCAACCTGCTTCACAGATGAGATGGTTGTCTGGAAGATTTGGGGGTGGCATGTGGTAGTAGTTTCCACCCCTGAATATGGCCTTGCCACCCTGGCACCACCCCATTTAAGCCATAACCTAAAATCCCACATTGTCTTAAATTCTTTCCTACATTTGCATCTTTAAATGTTTTTTAAGAGTGTAACTGTACCCAATAGTGTGAACAGTTAGTGTCAGCAAATATGTAGCGGATCATTGCAGAGTGGTTCCGTGCAGCTCAGTGAATGTCGCACAAGATTTTTGTGTGAAACAGGGGTTACTGGTGTAACTGGTGCAGAGAAGAACAGTAGACCACCTTCAAGTAGAACATCCTATTTTAGAAGGCAAATATCATTTAACAATACTGCCCCTGTAGGTGTCCCTGTCACTCCACATATAAGATTCCTGGCTATGCCACATTAAACTTTCCCCCACTTTGGTAAGTGTTTATATTAGTCTGTCAGTAAACACTCCAAAGCTACCTGGGTCATCTTTTTGCATCTCAGCAAATTCTGAAGCAAAATGAGTAGAAATGATTTGTTAGCTTCTTCATTTTCTGTTGTTTTTTTTCTTCCCCAAAGTGAATAACCTGATGTTTGTGCTAAGAATATCTGAGCTTAATTCAGGAACTGAAAGTTAAGGGAATGGTCTAGGAAAAGATTAGGTTTTGGAAGCAGTCTCTGTGCATTGAGTTTTACTGGCAATAGAAACATGGACTAACTATATTAACATGGCCAGAACTAAGCGGTCAGGCAAATATTAACAATCTTTTAACCGCAGGATGTGAAGCTATGTGCTCCCTGGTATGTCTGTGCTCAACCTCCTTTTTGTGAGGAAAAGGCCGATGGTGGTAAAACGCTTGTTTCCATCTTTGCGTCTCTTTGTGTTACAGTGATGAAAACCTCAACCAGCATGGATTCTTCAGACCAGAAGAAAACCAGAGTTAAACTGAGGAAGTTTCTCACTCGCCGGCCCACACTTCAAGCAGTGCGAGACAAGGGCTACATTAAGGGTGAGGCGAAAGGAACAGGTCACAGCGGTTTCACACGTTTAGTGTTTTTGAAATGTCTGTCTCTCAGCAGATGTGTACAGGGAGCCCCAGTATAAAGCAGCACTCTGGAAATGTTCAACTTGAGTTCTGGGTTTAAAAAAAAATGTTAAAAGCTCAGACAGAAAAGCCGCAGAGAGAGGCACAGCTGAAGAGGAGCGAGTCCAGAAGCGTAGACGTTGCTGGTCCAGTTTTGGGCAGTGTCGTTAGCTAACACAGAGAGCTGCCAGGGCTAAAAGAGCCCACACTGTTGCCTCTATGAGCTGCATCACCCCTCACTGACCGTTCCTCTTGGGCGGTGAATGACCGGGAGCTCCACGGCGAGCGACTCTCGCGGTGCTCCTTCTGCAGGAGGGCATGTGCAGACCTTAACCCTCCTGTGCTCATGCCAGGGCCTGAGCAACAACAGCTTAGTTTATTTACTCTCCCTGATTACAAATTGGAACAGTCTGAGAATAAATGTTTCGGTATAAGAAAACGACTAAGATGCACAGAGGTTTAGGTCTGAATTTCTGATCTGAATAAGATGTGGTGACGTTCAGATAAATAGTGTTGGGTTTCACGACACAATATTGTGTCATGAAAGTTGGAAATATCCTGGAGATATCAAGGGTTACATAAGGAAATTAAGACAGAAGGAATTTGCGCAAGCTTCTTCTGTGATTATTTCTTCTTTAGGATCTGTGTTGTACTGTTTGCACAGCTGTTCACAAAGCAATTTATTGATTTTTTTTTTGTCTGTGGAATGAATACAGTTTTAATCTCCTCAGCATGTTAAAATGCTTGAGCTTGACTTTGTTTATTCCATTTAAAAGATCTAGTCGTCTAGTTAGATGGAACGTTCTTTACATTGTGAATTAATGGCATTGCTACCTTTGCTTTGATAAAGTGTGAAATAGGAATGACCAAACTTGAATATGGATAAAGTCAGTGTACTTGGTTTGTTCTGAATTGTCCAATGTGTTTTTCTCTTCTTTAAAACAGATCAAGTGTTTGGCTGCAGTCTGACCAGTCTCTGTCAGAGGGAAAACACTACGGTGCCAAACTTTGTCAAGATGTGCATTGACCATGTTGAAAATAAAGGTTTGTTCACTAATAGGGTTGATGCAGTAAAACAGAGACAAAATTTTGTCTGATTGCTGCAAATGTGTCATGATTCTTTGTGTAACCTTAAAACAGAATTCTCTTTTGCTGGTTATATCCTCAAATGTGTTTTTTTTTTTCAGGTTTAAGTGTCGATGGGTTGTACAGAGTTAGTGGAAACCTGGCTGTGATACAGAAGTTACGATTTGCTGTGAATCATGGTAAGTTTCAACTTTCATGAGGCATTTTTCTCTTCTAGGTTTCTCTCATCTTAGTGATTGGTTCTGAGGTACTTATGGGTTGAACCGACTATTACGTCTGGTTGGAATTTTGAAACTATCCTGAGAAACGTGCAGGGCACAAAAATGATAACTTTAATAAAGGAAACCTTGCATGGAAAAGGACTTGCATTTGTTAATTTCCACATTCCACATTACACTTGTGACAAATTCTTGAAAGTGGTCTTGATCGGCTGTTTACAGGGCAACATTAAATGCTTCATCACCCTGAGCTTCTGCATAGGCCTTTCACATCTTTCGCTCGGCATTTAACAAGCCTCCAGGCTACCGATGTATGGTGTGACTCCCTCTATGAAATTTGAGCAGTTATTTTAATTCAATGTTATATACTTCTATTAAATTATATTAAAATCTATATTCTATGACATTTCATAATTTCATTTGTGAGCAAAGCCAAATATAAGGGATTATGGCATTATGCGCAACACAATCTGCCCAATTTCTGTAACGTTCAGAGAAATCTTGCATATGCTCTCTCTATCATCTGTTTTGTTTTTATACTTGATCAACCTTAACCAGCAGCTATATCACCCTGCAACTTACATCTGGCAACCCACTGAAGCTCAGCAGGTGTGGGCCTGGTCTGTACCTGGATGAGAGACCTCCTGGCAAAAACTAAGCTCACCCTGTTGTCTGTGTGGGTCCTAATGCCCCATTATAGTGACAGACACTAGATTTAAAAAAAAAAGCCGCCGTCTTTCAGATGACACGGAAAACTTGAGTCCTGACTCCACGGATATTAAAAATCCCGGGACGTTTCTGAAAAAAGTATATGGGTGTTAACCCTGGCCAAATTTCCCCCTGGAGTTTACCAATCATGGCCTACTAATAATCCCTATCTATGAATTGGCTTCATCACTCCTCCCCACTCTTATCTGGTGTGTGGTGAGTAGACTGGCGCATCATCCAGGCGGGACTGCACACCGGCGGTGGTGGAGGGGAGTCCCCATTACCTGTAAAGCACTTTGAGTGGAGTGTACATGAATGCGCTAGATAAGTGTGAGGATTTATAGGAATTATGATTGCTCAATTTCTAACATTTAAGATGCAGCTTCTCTCTTCTTCCCATCTGTCATTGTGGAGATTGAGCCACAGGAGTTCTCAGTGCAGACTTTGTGTCCAGTTCACAAAACCTGCATTTCAAAGGTTACGGCTTTATTGTGCCAAGCAGCGTCCCATTCCATAATGGCAGCGTCACGTGCTGTGTCATGTTACCTTGGCTGTGGCTGTGGCTGTGATCGTCCCCTGTAACCAGCCGGTCTGCGATGGGCCCGTCTCATGTTCCTGCCTCTCTTCCTCAGATGAAAAGGTGAATTTGGAAGACAGCAAGTGGGAGGACATACACGTCACCACCGGAGCTCTGAAGATGTTCTTCAGGGAGCTGCCAGAGCCTCTCTTCACACACGCCTATTTTGAAGACTTTGTCAGCGCTATCAGTGAGTGTGCGCGGGCAGGAGTGTTTACTGAGGGCAAATACCCAACCGATGTTTAGGCAGTGTAGGAATCAGCATTGCCGCCTTCAGCGAAACAAGGTTGGGCTTGGTCAGTGCTGGGACGGGAGACCTCTATGGAAACGTTGCTGCTAGAAGTGATATTTGTGAACCAGACAGTGACAGTCCTTACTCTGGATCAGAATGTCCAAGCCAGCAGTATGGTGTCAGGGGACCTTAATTTATTTGGTGACGCAGTTTCTCACTGTGCCTAGTCTGCTCCCCTGCCTCATTGTAAAGAACTTTGGGCTGAATTGTAAAATAAAACTACAAAAGACATTTGTAGGTTAATGTGTTTTTTGCATTTGTAATAATAAACTACGGATCACTGTTCATATCAAAGCATGATAGGATTCTTGGAAGTACCCTTTTCTGGATGAAGTATTTTACATCACTTGGATGTCTGACTACAGTTCATACATTATTGTCTTACTGGGGGATTTCTTGTTTTAAAATGCAAATTAATGTTTTTCCCTCCAATTCTCTCCTTGTCCACAAGGTGGCACCATACATTTTCAAGTAAAAGTACTATCTTTGAGGTTAATATATTTTTTGTCTCTTTCAGAATGTCCAGACTACAAACAGCGAGTACATTCAATAAAAGACTTAATTAAGCAGTTGCCAAAACCAAACCAGGATACCATGCAAGTTCTCTTTAAGCACCTCAGAAGGTAAGTGTATTTATTTCTCCAAGTTGACCTAATGGAAGATATAAAGAAGTGTAGACTGTAGAGAGCCCGATACTTTTTAAAAAAAGTTTTTAGTGAATTCTAGAGGGTTGAAATCTAGAGAAGACGTGCCCCAAATGGCTTTCAACTTTGCCTGGAAAAAACTTTGTCCAAACCACAGCCTTACACACATTTTGTGATTTGATGCCATTGGCTGTCCTGTATCTTGAACCTGTGAAACATCATTTCCCCAAACTCACTTGTCTGTCGTTCTTTACTAAGAAATCTGCATATATATAGGCTCTGTATTCAACTTTTGCTTTGAGCCCAACCTGTCACCTCCTGGTTATTTAAAATCTGTGCAGGAGAGCACACCTGTGTTTTGCATGTTATGAGTTGTTCACATAAACAAGTTAATCCAAATCTTTGTTTCACCTTTTACTTTTTAATGCTTTGACCTTCCCAGATTATACGACCCAAATGTTCCTTCAGGAGATAGAATTTGTCTTTCGAGTCCCACAGACCTCTCTCAAAGCAATTCCAGTTTTCAAGTTTGTGTAAGGATATATGGAAAAGTTTGTTTGGCAGTGCTGCTAATGCATATGGTACAGATGCTGTTGCGATCGCACCGAAATATTCTCTTCTCTAGTACAGGCATGTGCAGGCATGTGCAGAATTGGAATGGTCATCAGTCTTCACTGCGAGTTTTTGTAGAAGTACTGATCAGAGAGGCATGGCAGGTGAAATTGTATCTGCCTACCAATGGGTAAAGCATTTAAGATATTCCCAGAATTCTCTTGGAATCACTGAAGCAGCAGAACACTGCTTAAATCAGAATCCAGTGAAAACTGCAGATAATCATGTATTTTTATTAGCAGAGAGAAGCAGAAAGATGTATTAAGGTTCAGAAGAAGCCTGTTGTGGTGTCCCTTATAAAAGGTGATCCTCCCAGACAGTGGAAGATTAACTTGACAGAAGAATTTTGCAAAGCGCCATAAATAATTACAGAGTCGGGGTCATGCTGTTAAAAGACAGAGACGTCTCTGTCAAAAATGAGTAAAATATTATCACGCTCACCATCGACTTGCTTAGATCTTGGTGTGCCGAACCTCAGTTGCCCCATTTTAATTGTATAATGGTTTGCACTTGTTCTTCTAAAGACTTGCCTTGTCTGCTTTGCTAAGGTAGAGAAAGAGCCGTCTGGATAATGGGGAAACACACAAGGTCCATGCCTTTCTAACAGTCATATACAGTAGATGTACAGGTGGGGGAAAAATGTTTGATAAAAGCTCCTGTTAGTTGGCCCATCAATCTGACTGCTTATGATGTCTTGTAAGCCCAGCTGTAATTGGGGTTTGACTCTAATGAGTGATGTTTTATTACCTGCTATTTCAAGTGCGTCTACCCCCCCCCCCCTCTGTGCAGCAGCAGTTTCAGTGACATATTGAGCATGCAGATTGACACTCAGGGGTGACTGAAGTGTTTGAACAAATGTCCTGTGTAATTAGGCTTTTCAATTAGATAGACTGGAATATTCCTGCCAAAACTGTGAGTTTAATTTGTATAAAGCCAGCAGCAACAGGGAGATCTCACCTCTGATTGACTGGAGAAGGTGAGACAGCTGTACGACTCATCATTTTCTCTGTTTGTCTTTTAAAAAAAGTAAAATTACCTTAATGCCCGTCTCAAAGCTGTAGAATTGATTTTTGTACTACTACAATATAGATTTTGAGAAGGAATTATGACAAGTTTCAATCTACCAGCCAGAATGGCTCACTGTAATATAAGATTTGATTGCATTGTAACACATTGCATTGTTTTTATAAAGAATGGCATCAATATGTAGGAAGTATGAATTCCAGTCCTAGCACATTGTGCTGTAAATGCTCTTTTCTTTCCTGATGCCCACCCAGTGTTACGGCACATTGTTAAAAATATAAAAACATGGAGCTAGCTAAGGAACGGTGAAATATTTGTGTCCTCAACAGTGAATATTCACTTCAATTTCTGTACAGTATACGTTTCCCTTATATAACAAAGGACTTTCCTTTGGTATAACAACCCCCTGAGCACGAAGGAGAGAGCACATTGTTGATGGTCAGGTGTTCCTCCTGATTGTGGGAAAACACAATGGAAAAACTTCACCCAGCCCAGGAGTCCAAACATGACACATTATTATGGGAAGAGCTCTGCCTTAAGAACCAGTCTGCAGTTTACTCTCCAGTTTGAGCTGAAGTACAACCCACAGAGCCCATTTTAAATAAATAATGATAGAGCTTTGTGTCCATAGATCAGTGGTAGTCTTGGTACCTCCATTCTGTGCCATTACAGGATTTGGACTAGCAGATTACTGAATTGGCCCTTAATTGCTTAATTAACCCAGGTGTCAAAGGCCACTCTTCTAATTAAGGATTAGCTGGAGGAAAGACATGGAATGGAAGTGCCAAGGCTGACTGCCCCTGCCTTAGATACGTGCAGCTAATTAGCAGTCAAACAGAGCTCGGCACTGTCGGCGGTATGGGTATTTCACAAGGTTCGCAGGCAAGTCTTTCTAATGTGGCTTCGTTTCGAGAACGTTGAGTCAGTGCAGAGAGGTGCAGTTCCAGGCCTGTAGATCCACAGTGTCTGCGGGCTTTCATTCCACCAGATCTCTTAACTAATTGATCTAAATATCGGTGTAACTAGACCAATTTCACATCTTTCCTGGGTTACATTAGTCTGTGGAGTAATACGGCCCACCAGGATCGGAGCTGTACTCCTCTGCGTTTGTGGGATACATTTCTAACATCTTCATCTGGTTATTTTAATGTTTCTTATCTTGTATTTACATTATAGTCAGAAGTTATGGATTGGGTGTCCATTCCAGTGCTCATAATTTAATTTAATTTCCTCTCAGTCTCCCGACGAAAGGCCAAAAAATAAAGGTCACGTAATCCTGTTGCCATTTTTCAGACAAATATGTATTTTTTTTTTCCCTTAACCATTAACGTTTTCAGTATTTCAACCGGGTTGAGGGCACAGTAGCACATATAGCACCTGGTTTGACCTGAATAAATGTTTGAATGTATCAAGTACTTCGGGTCACGACTAAAAATACTTGTGCCTCTTTTTTGATTAAAAAAAGTATGGAATGATATTTCCCCTGCCCCTATTTGCATTTAAATGATGTGCGCTTTAATACAAGACCTGAAATGTGTTTTTTGCTTCTGCTTGACATCCTGTCTGTGGGACCCAGGGTCCTGACGCAGTGAGCAAAGAGGAGTTACATAACATAGTGTTGACAGTATACGTTCTGCTCTTGTCCATGGTGTTTCGTTAGCTCTGCAGTGAAACCGGTGTGTTCATGGATTTAAAAAGGCTTCATTGGAGCTTATTTGAAGGAAAATGAGTTGCCTTGTAGATAAATTTAATCCCAGTACGCGAAACCCAGCGTGTTGTCATCACGTGGAAAGTAACGTGTCATTTTTTAACTGTTTCTCTCTTTTCAGAGTTATAGACAACGGGGAGCTGAACCGCATGACGACTCAGAGTGTTGCTATAGTGTTCGGCCCTACGCTGTTGCGACCGGAGAAAGAGACTGGAAACATCGCGGTGCACATGGTGTATCAGAACCAGATTGTAGAATTGATCTTGCTGGAGTACGAGAGCATTTTCAGCAGGTAAACCTGCTTGTGAAAGAGGACAGTCTCGCCGAGCTCTATACCATGGCAGACGTCAAAACTTCCATCTGTGAGATATGCTGTGGAACACGCAATATAAATATATTGAAATAAACAAAGGAAAAACAAAAGACTAGTTGACTTTGCACTTAACATTTTGAAGCTATGTGTATATTTTCTTTTGGTTGTCATTCCTGCAAGTAGAATTGCCATTACTTCATGAGCCTATGATGCTTTCACCTGACTGGACTTTGACTGGTTCATTTGCAGCTACAAAGCTGTGGGGTTAATAAGGATGGTTCCTTTTTTCATTGGTTAAGACAAATGACTGTTCAGGATAAGTTTGTATACACTGGATTCTTCTGGCCAGTATTGATGATAATAAGGTCTAATTGCCGGTCATGAGAATATGTAAAAGCTCTGAACATTTATACCCATCTTCACTAATCACGTGGATCTGAATGACTCTCTTTGAGCCAGATTCCAAGTTCAAGATGGCTTACTGCTGACCAGCATAAGTGGAAGTTCATGTTTATTTAATCTTACGTAAATGAGACATCATTAGGAGCCAAGTATCCTGTAGAAGAGTAATTTGGTTATTCTTTCACTTGGTCTTTTTTTTTTAAAGAAAACAGACCATTTCACGGTCTTGTAAAATGCTGACTGCTGACAGACTCATTTAAAGGAACTGCATCTGCACACTTGTGTACACCCAAAGGAAATCTGCAGACAAGGAACATTCAGTTGTATCAGTATTAGAAATGGGAGTTTCAGTGTGCTCCATTTGATGGATTTGAATAACCTGGAAATGTGTGGGCTAACACTTTAGGAAAACACGCCTATAACGCACCCCAGAAAACACAAGACCTGAAACAGGAAAACAAGAAACAAGACCCTGTGGACGTGTGGACATGTGGATGTGATGTGACCTCTTACAGGCATGAGACTTCTGCATAGAGCTAAAGACCTTTTGGTTAGATTTTATGGGTGTTATCGTTGTAGCAACAAACGTCTTGGTGATCTGCTCTCCCAGAGACCACTCATCGCATAGGCGTGCATTTTCAGAGCTAACGTTTCACGAAGGGGGTTCTCTGGGTCCCTTAATGTTGTGGGCATAGTGCCAGCCAAACAGTATAAAACTGAAAAACCTTGAAATAGTCAAACCTGTGATGGAAAAACTCCAATGTTTATGATGTAAATATGTGGAAGGTTTAATCTTCTTCCAGGTCTTGTACATAAATGTATAGTTCCATGAGTGATGTAGGCCTCTTTTCTTTTGTAACAGTTCCTAAATACACATCTAATTGCCGCACATTTAGCTATAGGAAGTATTTTCTTTTGCTGGGCCACAATGGAATTGGATGGAGCAGCCAAGGATTTATTACCAATTCAGATAAATACCGTGTGTCCTTTTCTGCCTCTTTTAAGGTCAATTTTTCTGTTTCTTTTCTCCCTATTTCCAAGGCTAATTCAAACTTTTAGAGAAAAAAAAAAACATGGTACTGGAATTAGTATTGCGTAGGCCTGTGGTGAATTGATGGTACAATTGCAATAGGCCTTTTTACGATTAGATACAGAAAATATGTACAGCTGGAGTGAGAAATTGCCTAGTGAGATCTATTGTACAAATTTCTAACAGTAATTGAAGTATGTATGCTTTGATGGTGCGCGGTAGCAACTGATAAATCACTTTAATTTTAATTTTTTATGAAAATATAAATAATATAGACTGATTGTAAAAAAAAAACTGGTTTGGAAAGTTTATCTGTTATTGGGAGCATGGTCAGCTGCACATTTTTGAATGTAATTTTCTCGACTAACTGCGTTCGTAATCTGAATAAAGAAACCTTACAAACACAAACTCTGTGCTTTTTTTTTTTCTCCACCTCAGTCAATATAGTTGTATGGTTTGCGGCCGTCTGATCCACCTCCCCCCGTCGGGTTTCTAAACCCAGAATATTTCGGCAGGTCTCTGCAGAATTAATTGGACCTACAGCGCAGTGCCACGTGATGGCGTTACGGCAGTCGCTGGGGTCTGTACTCGTCTGTGGCTCATTATGGTGGATCTTCCCCCACACGTTCGAACGACACGAGTTTCCTTTCTGACTAAAACTCCGTTCAGGGGCCTGGAACAGAAAAGTGGGGAATACTTCAGTGGCGCCGATGACGTGTATTTTGGGGGTCAGCAGAGGAGGAGGTGAAGCTGTGACAATCAGATCTCTGGGTCAGTGCATGACCTCTTCTGGCTGTATTTTAAAGGAAGTGTTTCCAAAGTCTAGTAACCATGGGGAGTTTGAGGGGGCTTTTGGACCTCAAAGCCAATTTGACTTGCAAAACCCACAAAGGTTCAATAATAGGATCTTTGCAGGCACAAATTGCAATATATTTGGGTCTTCAGCATGGTGAGGCAGCAAATCTCAAGATCGTAAATACTTTCATTTGGGTTTGAGAAATTGGTTGAGAGTATTCAGTAGAACAGGTTGCTTGAATATAACCTACTGTAATCTGGGTCCTACAGTGTCCTCCAGTAGTACTAGAATAACAAAGTCCAAGCCTTTCTATTTACAGTTTGGCAATAGCTATTGCCAAACTGTAGTTATGAGGTGAATTAATATGAAGGATAAGTACAATAGGTTTTATTTTTGGCTGCAGACACATGTATGATCATATTGAAGCTAAAAATGTGGCACCAAGGAAAACTCGCTCATGCCTGCTGTACTGCATTTGTGTTATATAATATTGCAAGTATTTTGGGACAATTGAAAGTACTGTGCTATACGGATACAGGACAGTGCAATTATTTCTAACTAATCCTAGTGTGTGGCTTTTACATAATCGTCCATTTGTTTGGTTCCATGTTTCATCTTTTGTAATGAGAAAAACCTGGCACATATGGACATAAAAAAGAAACTCGACTTTCATTGCAGCGCTGCAGGAGAATAGAGTGAAGATGTCAGCCTGGGATTTGTCTGCTGTTAAGCAGGCATGTCAGGATTTTCCCAGTGAAGATTGCCTTTCCGCATGGAGCACTTCATCCATAAGGTCAGGGAAAGAAAGGTGAAAATCTCTGCCGACTGTGTCTGGATGATACAAGTGGATCCCCCCGACTGCTGTTACATTGTTACCCTGGACAGGGATTGTATCGATCCTTTTGTAGAGCAACAGCTGCCTAGCACATCTGTATGACAACAAATGCATTGACCTACCTACATTTGGGATTTGTAATCATAATGCCTTTCTGCAATGAATTACAGTTTTCTGTATCACTCATGCTTGGCAGTGGAAGGTTTTTTGTTTCCTAAGTAATGGGAACTGCTTTTTGAAAACACTTCAGGCGGTTTGAAAGAAGCAGGAGCACATGGCTTCCCTCGAGGGGAGGGGAAAAGGAGGAGCATATTGTATGGTTGTTCAAATGGCCTGTTTTTATTTTCATGATGTAAATATCAGCACTCATCTGAAAAAACGCCACATGGTGAGTGTGTGAGAGAGAGCACACAAACCCTGAGGTGTCGCCCATTGATTTTACATGTGCAAGTTCTGGCTGACATTTGTGTTTGGCACAGCCCAGCACATGTAATACTTTTATAATAATATTATATCATCATAAATATCATCTTCTTTTGTATTCATCAGTCTCAATCTTTGGAAGACAACTGAAGTCTCAATAGATGGGCAGCTTAGACATCCCTCTCTTTTACAAAGCAATACAAAAACTAGTTTTCCTTTGTTGTGGAACTACAGCCTCTTGAAGATTTCTCGAACATTTTAAATTAAAGTGTGTAACGAAATGTTCTTCCGCCTTTCAGATAAACATGTTTCTTTTTATTATAGGTTTCATTTAAATAGCTTGTAGCAATGGTGTCACACCAGATGTAAATACAGTTTCTCGTCTTCCTGTGGAGATCAAGCCTGTGGTCTGTGGAATAAAAAACAAGCAGTACATGACAGTTACTATACTGTTCAGCTCTGGAGCAAAACATTTTTATAAAGAATGTTAACACAATGATAGAAGAAACTTAAAAGAAAGAAAAGCAGTGTAGTATGAACTTAGGTGGGTGGGTCTGCAGACGTGCTGATGAACAGGACAATTCCATTACACACTAGTACTGTTAATCTGTTTTTAGTCTTACTGCTAGCTGAAAAAATGGTGGCACCAAAATGGAAGTTAAACAAGACCCTCACCCCTGAAGATGATTTTAGACCTTGAACAAAATTACATCTTGGTACCTCCTTAAGCAAAACTGGTGATTACTTCAATGAGATGTTTCCTGTAACCATTGATCAGTCTCTCATGTCCTGTTTAAGAAATTTTGGTCAATTTTTCTTACAGAACTTCTTCAGACCTTTGACATTTAAGGGTTTGAGCATGAACAGCTCACATCTACCATGGCATTTTAATGGGATTTAAATCCAGACTTTGACTTGCCCAATCCAAGTGCAGAATTTCTTCTTGAGCCTGTTGTCAATTTGTTTTTGTATGTTTGGGATCTTTGTTTTGTTGCATGACCCACTTTTTTTTTGGCTCATCTTCAGCCAACAAATGGATGGCCCAACAATCTACTCCAGAATTTGTTAATACAACACCAAATTATATTTATTAATACAACACTATGTTCACGGTTGTTTCAATGATCAGCAAAGGATTTGGAGCAAAGAAGCCCCAAACCACGACATTCCTACCACCATGTGTCACATTCGGGATGAGGTTCTCATTGTGTCCGAAACTCTTGACTCATCTGTCAGAGAACATTCTTCCAGTAGTCCTGTAGATCGGTTGTTCTTTTGCGAAGAGGTGGCAACGTTCCTCGTAGAGAGCAGAAGCTTCTTCCTGGCTTTTTCCCATGAAAACTATTACCATTCAGGCTTTTCCTGATGGCTGGGGCATGAACACTGACATTAGCCGCAGTGAGAGACCTGCAGGTCCTTTAAAGTTCCTCTGGGACTCTTTGTGATGATTTTCAGGGTCGCTCTTGGGGAGAACTTGGCAGAACTCATTGTGTATTTGAATGTTTTCCATTCAGAGTCAGTGGATGGATGGAGCCCTATTTGCAAATGATTTTGCAACGCTCCCTGGACCAAATGATAATCAGGTGCTCTTTTTCTGAGGTCCACTTGATTGTGACATGATGTTTTTCTACTAACCTGTATGGTACACAACAAAATTGACAAAAAACCCCTGTGTTTTTGGACCGGGCTACTCAAATTCAGTCCTTGTTTATTTCTTACTCAATTATCTAACCACCTGTCTCTAATTACCCCTTAACTGTGCTGAGTAAAGTAGGTTTTCACTTATAATTTCACATACACTGATTCTTAATTATTCTTTTTCATTCATCCTGCATCTTAAAAAACATTCAGTTGGTAAAGACAAACCCTACTGAGTATTTATGTAAAGACCAGTTCTGATTTAACAAGGTTATCATGGAAAGAAATTGTAAGTACAATAATTATTTTGGGATCACCAATCTTTCCTCAGCACTATAAAGGGTCAATCTATGTATAAACTGCTGCAAAAAATAAGTTGAATTCAGAATAGACATGTTGGGTGTTGTGGTTAATTTCTAACCCAGCTGTAGCAGGACCCTTGGTTAGATGGATGTTTTCCGAAAGTATAGATGTGTAAATCCATTTTTAATGCATTACATCTGTTCGAATGGTATTGAATGCTTATATGGCTCACAGTATACAGAATAAAATTAGCTTGCTTCTTAACTTTATAGAATAATATTTGAAGATAGAGGGTGAACTATCTATGTGTTGCACGAACTTAACCCTTTATATTGCACAGATAACTAAGATATTCTATGACCAATCAAGAGCTGCTCTATTAGAAGCTTCCTCCCTGAAATGAGAGAGCCAGAGAATTAATGTTTAGCAGGTGAGCATCTGTACTTTGCAAAAAGACACACCTGGTTCTAATTAGAGCTAACCTCCGACGCAGGCAGGGGTCCTGGAAACAGCTGCCATACTCATCCGTCTCCTGTCCTGGAGGAGGTTGGCGGCGAAGTACTGAACAGACGAAGGTAAACCCCAAAACTTCCTCCCCAAACTCCTCTCCTTTCAGGGATTGCCCATGTCTGAGACCACCAGAGCAGCAGCCCTGACGCTGAGCGCCCATCCCTTTCTGTATTCACCAACCGCAGTCTCGACTTCGATGTACAAACTTGTTGATATTCATCCACAGGCCCAGCAAAGCTGGGGAAGAGATTCTTTTGTCTCAGATGAGCGCCTTACTCCCAGCTCTGCAAACGTTGTGACACATCTAAATGTCGAGCGGCTCCCCTGATTCGGCGTCTTGCCTGGTCTGTTAAATCTTCAGCATCCGTGCCTGACGTGCAGATAAGGTAACCAGTAAGTTTTTTTTTTTTTTTTGCTGCTACTACTGTTCACTAGAGCTGAATGATCCACCGCCAACACAACACCAAGACCTGGGAATCTGGAAATAGGATTTTAATTAACACAATCCAGTACATTGGCTCTGTGTGAATCTGCATTGCCTTTTCACTGTGATGGTTGGTAGTGCTTTGATTCAGCCATGCTTGCATTTTATGTAGACAGAAACTTCACATTCAGTGAGCCGGATCCTTCATGCTGGTACGGTTAATAAGATTTATGATTTTGTCTAACATTGTTGACCACTGATACCAGGTTGTGGAAATTTCAATTTATCATGGCAGTGGGTAATCACTTACATTGCCTGATTGATTCCTAGGTGACTGGTATGCAATTTATGTGTAATGAGGTAATTGCACCATTGCCAACTTTAATTAAAATGTATAACAGTGAAATGGGACTTCAGCTAGCCAGCTGAACTCCAGTTTGTGTGAAAGGCTTCATTTTATTGTGAAGAAGCTTAGTAAAGTTTTATTGTACTTAACGAAAAAATAAAATGTCCTTCTTTTTACAATATTTTTTAAGCATAAAGTATAAATGTGAACATTGCAACTTGTCTCTTAAGCCAATACCTATTAATCGGGTCACACCATGGCATATTCAGGGTGAGTATGACCATTGGAACACATTTATTTATACATAATGTAAGATTAACAGTAATCCTCCTCAGCTTCTCGTACATAGAGAAGCACACCGTGCTTTTGCATTGAAACGACCAGAAATGGTGTAATATAATGGCCAATCTGGTTAACGGATCTTCAGTCTGTCAACACTCTTGATCCTTACTCAGAGTTTTTAAACAGAAAATGGTAAAGGCTCAAGACATTTTCCTTTTAAAGCAGCCAAGCCTGGAATATTTGTTTTGCGTGCCTGAGGAGACGTGGGCGTGCAGGTAAACCCAACAAGCGGTTTTGATCTGTTGCACGCTGCTGTACGTCTGTCCCTTTTTCCACAGGGGCCCAGCAGGAATAAAGGAGACAGGCGTGAAGGTAGTGGCTCTCTTGCCAGGCCATGAATGTTAAATAGCAGGCCGGCAGCCAAGTGTTGCCAGTGTCTGGTTAATGTCAGCTCCCCATAGAAACGCTGCAGGAATCGATTACTCCTCTTTCCTCGCACACTTCCATAGCTTCCATACTCACGTGGGATGAACAGGCCCTGTAACGTCTCCAGTAGGATCTTATTTTAGCCTTGATTGAAACATCAGGCGTGGTACTCGGAGAGTGAGACAGAGAGAGGCAGAGGGGGAAGCAGCTATCTTTTCGCCGCTCCTGCCTCCTCCCTGTCGATTGAAAGAAGTGACCGGGGATTGGCTGCTTTTTAGGTTGCCTTATCTCATGCAGCCAATCAGAGGCCGACCTCTAGGATAAACAGAGCCAGACTCCCAGTGGTGCCACAACAGAGAATAATTATTGCTCCAGACAGCTGACAACAGCAGGGGTTCCGTTTTTTTTTTTTTTTCCGCCTCTTAGCCTGACTTCCATGATTGCTGGCAGAAAAAGATGCTGATTATAAGTAAAACATTAATTATGCCCTGCCACTAAACTGCTGAGTTAGTCTGCCATTTTATGAACTGTAGGCATCCGTGTCTGAGGGTGGAATATACTGCAGCATCCCTTCCGCGGGCTTCTTCTACCTCTCGCTGGAAGGAGTCTGTCTCTCAGGTACAAAGTGGTCAAAGTCTTGTGGCAGTAATTTCACGGACCCCAGAGTGATTCATTACAGGGCATCGGCCTGACAGCTGACAGCTCTATGTGCGCCACACAGCCTGCGCAGGGAAAAGGCCCAAAGTGAAGCAGAATGCGCTTTATAAACAAGCATAAGATGTGATAATTCTACATTACGGTATGTTCATGTCTTAAATAGACTTGTGAATTGCTTTTGCTTCGTTAATGAGGGTGTGTGGGGGTGGGCCTGATAGTGCAGTGGTTAGCATTGCTGCCCTTGCAGCCCAGGGATCAATTCCAGACCTGAGGTGCTGTCTGTGTGGAGTCCGGATGTTCTCCTCGTGTGCACATGGGTTTCCTCTGGGTGCTCCAGTTTCCTCTCGCAGTCCAGAGACATACTGGGAAGTTAGAGTGACTTCCGGGAAAGCTGGCCCTGGTGTGAGTGAGTGGGTGTTGTGTCCGTTCAGGGTAGGCTGCAGCTCCCCCGCACCGATTAGAAAATGGATGGATGGATTTCATATGGTACATTCAAAAGCAATCATCTCACAAGCACTTTGTTCCCAACTCCCACATACAGACCTGCTGGCATGCTTAGTTGGATTTTTGCTCTGTACATTACAGAAAAAGAGCACAGATTTCGAAATCAGAGAAGACATCTGATACCATGTATATATACACAATATATTTATATAAAATGATGTGGAGTACTATTTCGTCATTTAGTGTTTTTATTTACTGGCATGCCAAGGAAACAGTCTGAACACAATATGAGTATATTACAGACTTAAAATTGAATGATAACACCCAGGAAATGTCTGTAGCCAATATGTCTGTGGGAGCAAGACATTTGTTTCAACAGGACAGTGTTAAACCTCTACTTCCTGCTAAAAGAAACAGAAGGTAGTTGCCGTGACAGAGTGTTTTGTCTTAAATTAGTAAAATTGACCATGTGAAGGGTATAAATCAATGACTCCTAAGTTCATATGGCACAATTCTCATTCCCTTGAGCAAGCTGTTCTGTAGCCCCAGCTATTCCTAAGGGACCTGGGGGAGTGGTGTAAATGTGATCATCTAATTTCGCACAAGTGTCCAGCAATACACAAGGCCTCAAAAACTGGTAGGAGGAGGAGATGGAAATAGTCACTCAGAAATGGGAACAAGTGAGCCTATTCGTGTTCATTATAACTTAAAATTGGCAATACGCTCTGGGATGCCAATAATATAAAATCACACGTTTTTTCTGCATTCTTTCAGTTCTATTCTTTTTAATGCAGGGCGAAGAAGCATTTTTTTCTGCCCTCATCTCTGTCTAATGAAATCATGCACACATAAAAAAGGGTTTATTTGACAAGCTGGCTGTTTTTTACGGTCTAATATATAAATGCAAACAAAGCCCCCGGTTGTATTTTTTCCTGCTGTGCTGCTTCTCTGACAGTTACAAGATCTGGTGTGCTGCGGATGTACAGACATCCGTCTTTGTAATGTCAGGACTATCGACACCACTGTTCAAAGGGGGTAGTTGGAGCGATAGCTTTGACCTTCTCCAAGTGAACTCTCTTCTTTACCGGCACAATGGATAAATGATTCCTAAGCGCATTTGACTTACCACACAGGTAACAAGTGAGCTTGCAAATGATGAATACAGTCCATGAAAGTCCCACTGAAAGCAAAAATATGTTTTCATGTCAGACTAGGCAGAATGGCTGCTTCATTTTAGTTCTCTACAGACGACATGAGCAAACCAAAGAAACCTAACGTTTGTGACCATACAGATGTATTTTTCAGTGATGTGCATTTTTCTTCCACTTGCAGTATATTGACAGTGCCATTCCTGTACAAAATGCAGTTGAAACATTAATAACATGCATTTGTGAGTATAGTAGTTCAGGTGGGTAGCTGCATTAGCATGTGTAGGCTGCAAAGGAACAAGTAATAGGTTTATCCCATGCTGAAAAGAGAAGAAAGAAAACACAACCTATTGTTCCTTTGTAAGTACTGTATGTGTTTACCAGCATGTGCCCATCTACAGTACATAAGAATCATGAAGGCTTACTCTTGGAATAAAAAATAAAATCACCAAGTTTCTTTAGAATCTCAGTCTTGGTTGCAAGATTAGAGGACACTGTCTTGAGTGAGGGGAGTGTAAGCTTTAATGTTATTATTAAGCACCTGACCCTGTTTAATACTGCTCTTAGACTACCTGATGTTTCAGGCTTCATGAGGAAAAATACCCTACATGAACATTTTAGGAATGTCTGTTTGGAGGTAAAGCATAAGAAACTTTGGTTTAACATGCATTGGCTGAGGGTTAACCACACGGCCATAGGACCATGACGTTCGAGCCTCATACAGGGTAATTAACTAATTGGCAGCTGCAGGATGGGAAAGAAGAAAGGATTACTATGTGCGAAAGATTAAGAAGCTTGGCACAGAGAGCTGTGTACATGAAAACAACACGCTAGCAAAAGGATGTTGGAAAGATTCAGGCTTTAATTCACCATTCGCCCCCAAAAATTTCTCCGTTAATTGTCTTTATGTGTAATTGGGCAGCAGAGCTCCACACCAGTACCAAAATCACAGTGTGTATTGCAAACTCAAAACTTTAACTTCAGGAGCAACTGTTTTCCAACACTTCACAGTATAATGTCCACTGGCTTGTCAGCGACTCAGCCTCCTCCTTCTCTAGTCCCCACTGCCTACTGGGGAGTGTGGTTTCAGAACTGTCATCTTTTTCTTACAAAAGTCATCAGGGGAAAAGAGTGGAAAATCCTAGACTGGGAAGGGTCAAGGCCAAGACTCATTCACTGAGTGTGCATCTTGCATCCTGAAGAAAAACTGAAGTCAGTTAAAATAAGAAAGAACTCAAGATGACTGTGGCAAAGGATCTCAAATTAGACAAAGAGTTTGAGCACCATAGGTCACACCTTGCAAACAGGTTTCACCTCACTTGGGCTTTTAAATTGAAATGTTCTTAATGAGAATGTGTTAACACCACTGTACGTATCACTGGGTTGAACACAAACTACAGTTTGTTTCTTATGTACTAATATGTTCAAATTACTCAAAAATAAAATGTATACTGTGCCTCATTATTCACATTAATCATGATCACAAATAGAGGACAAAACTGATTGAAACTGAAATGTCAGTATCTGAATCCTGAGGCTAACAGAGAGTTGTTGTAGTAACATCTGCCTCCGTTGCTTATTCACAAACTCACTCTCAACTACCTGTAATTGGTTTTATAATTAATCTGGCCTATAATCACACATACTCACTTTTTCACTACACTGTAACTGTAAATGCAGAACTAGGCACAGACCTGACAAATAACACTTCACGTAGATAAGTGCCGAGCAATGCATGCAGGAAAAAAAAACTGCAAATATAAAATGGAAAACACCAAACCTTAAGAGTTAGAGTTTTAGATACTTATGTTGACACATCATTTTAATTTCCTAGGCAATGTGAAATGTGTGTGAGAACATTAAAGGCAAACAGAATGTTAGGATGTAAAGTACGTAAATCCAGAGTTTTTAGAACTTCTGCTAGCTCAGGCACTTTCGAATGTTTTCCAGCTGTATGTTTAGAGTCTATCTGTCTACTGCCTTCAGTACTTTCAATTTTCTTGAGGTGTGTGCTTAGTCGTAAATTGTAGATATTTTCCTATTTCCTTTACAGCTTGTACAGTGTTTGCTACCCTCCTATTCTGGTTTCTGTTGCCGATGCTGAGTTTGCAAACTATATGAGAGTTTAGGTCATTGATATGCATCATAAAGAGCAGTGGTCCTAGCAACAATCCCTGAGATACTCCATTAATTACCCCCAATTTGACCATTCAGCCACGTGCTCTGTTTCCTATCTACTACAACAGAGCAAATAGTGAAAAGGGCCAATATCACCGACTGTCATGACCACCCCTTGCACAGTGAATCTGACCTCCTTCCATCTGGGCATCAATTTAACCTCCCTAGATTCAAGAACAATAGAACCAAGCCATCTTTTATTCCCACAGCCATTAACCTGCTGAAAGTAGAAAATTGACTGCATATATTTTACTTTATTTATAAATATTTATTTTCTTTGTAATTATATATGCATGTCTGTTATTTGTTAATTAGTTCATGTTAAGAATAATGTATTGTTTAATATCATGGTCTCACAGAATGACTTTATTGCTCCAGGCCTGTTTTCATAACAGACAAGCTTCTTTGTGAGCCAACCTCACTAATTTATAGCGAGAAATCAGCTCGCCGACAATTGGTGCCAGTTTCTCTAATGTGGTATATGAGGAATGTGAACCCTAGACGTTTCCCTCTAGCTTCATAAACCCTTATCTATGCTCAAGATCCTGTTGCTCCATTACAATTAAGTAAAATTTGTATAACCTCATCAGGCCACAGAGAATAGTTTAAGTAGATCTAATTCTGTAACACACCTTCCGCTTCTAGTCTAACACTATTGAATACAGACTGTGTGTCTGCTTGGCTTGAGGCATTCAGTTTCTCCCCTCATAAACACCTGAGTGTTATATTCAATTAAGACATTTCTTCCATCATCTTGGCATTATTTAAACAAAGTTCAGGAGAGGGTCAAATTCGAATCTCACACTTCTGCTCTCCCATGTACAAATACTCACTGGCTGCCCACCACTCTGCACATCTTTTCTAGCACTAAGCCTTCCAGTCTCATTGGAGACAGAGGTACTGAGTCTCACACTTGGAATTTCCAAAGACCTTACCTTTATCCTACTAGCAAAGGACCAGAGCCACTCTCTTGCCTTTTCTCAGATAGGGAGCACTTCAACTTCAAATTCTCAGTCAAATACAACCGGCCAAGTTGTCAGCTCTTTTCTTTCAGTTCTCCTGATGTTGTCAACCCTCCAAACAACTGTGGACACTTCTCACTTCTATTTTCTGCTCTCCTATGTTCTTTGCCACAGCAAAGGGCAAGAGAACTGGAGCGATCAACATGCAAGAGTGGTCCAGGTGATCAATATGAGGATTCCCATTTTGATTACAAATATTCACTTTAAAAAATGTACCTAAATCATTTGTAATTGAACAGCACAGGATTGTATTACAATGACTAACTACGTTTGCAAGGCACTATAAAACTGCATTATAATTTTGTTGCCGGCCAAGCAACCAGGTTTGGCTCAAAAGAAAAGAAACCCCCAAACAGCAGTCTTCAAATGTAAACAAAACTGGATTAATCGCCATCAAAATAGGGATAACCCCCCCCCCCCCCATTGATCAATGGGCAATTTGATCAAAATAAAGTATTTAACCTTCCATAAAAACACATTCTAACAGAGTCATGCAACAGTTACATATCCACCTTAACAAAACAAATAATCTTACATCTGTTATTTATTGATGGCTCACTAGTAACCTTTGCCTTTAAGATCATTTGTGGGAGCATTGTGGGATACTACAAACAGAAAAGGTGACTGGTGGCCATCTTAACCAACACAATACAATACTCCACTGGGGAACCACTGCAGTGATTTTAGGGAAACAAAAAAGGTAAGTATCATTCATATTTCATTAGTATCACATACACACTCACAAACATACCAGAAGGGTAGAGGAAAATACTGGAGTATTTCATATTCATCAAAATAAATAAATTTATTTATGAATTTAGTCATCTTTAGGATATTCTTTCAGCAGTATATGTTTTGAATGTTTTCGTACATCTTATTCAAACAGACTAAGGTCCTAAATTCTTCTTGCTTAATTGACTGTGCCTGAATGGTCTTTTTGATGTGTAGTCCTACACTAAAACCTCCTCCTGTATCTTTGGAATGCTGTGAATCCACTTAAGCTATGGCCACAGCGTTGCTTGCCTTTACCTGTCCTCCATAGCCTGAGACCTAGTGCTTCCTCTTCAAAGAGGCCTTCTTTTCAAGGCCTGTTCTTCCTTGGCCTATTCTCCTTGTCAGTGGAGACTTGGCCTCTTCACGCTTCTCTGACGCTGCTGTGTCTCAAGATCCCTCTTGGCCTCCCTCCCCCCAAACGTAAGATTACAGAATCTAGTTGTTAAGAAGGGTAATGCAGCTGCTACATCTGCCACCCACATGGACAGCTTAACGGTTTGCCCTCTGCAAACAGACCTCTGCCCGATACCCTGGAGCACCTGCATGTTATTAATGACCACCTTCAAGTACAAAGAGCAGGAACTGGGCAGGACAGTAGCTGTCGTGATTGGAGTACTTTCTATATATGGCTGACCCAAACCCCTGTGAATGAGGATGGATGACTCTCCAATGCTTCTGACGTCTTGGGGCATAACACTGGACCAGTGTAATATGAGATCCTTAAGACCTTCTTGCTGACTAAAGTATCTTCCTGCAAGCTGGAAGGCTTACTGCAATGGCAGAATCCTTGATTTCAGTCGGCCCGGACTGATAGCATCGGCTCACTCTTGGCTTCTCTACCAGGGAACCTTCCCCGCCTTCTGTAGGGGTGACAGCCCTGAGTTATTGTCGACTCGACACCAAAGGCTCAGGGGTACACATATTTGAAGGGTTGCAAGAATAAGTTCTATAAAAGGGGACAACCCCAAGAGTCATTAGTCCCAGGAGCTTGCTGCATTAGCAAGAGAGCTAACCACAGGACAGTTTGAATGCCTGGAGGCAGTGCATCATGAGTTCCAGGTTCATGACTCTTTAGGTTTATAGAGTCATGTCTTTGGCTTTTAGAGCCTGCAGCATCATGGTCTACCAGGGCCTCCACAGGATCCTGGGTCTAAAGGTGGCACTTTCTCCCCTGATTCCCCATCATTCACTCTACTGCACATGCTTGGCCTTCAGGTGTGGTTTTATCACGAGGCCTCCTGCTCTGCTTGTTTCTTCTTCAGGCTGATCTCAGTGTCTCCGGTATAATTATCATACTTCATTTTATTTATGAGTGTTTTCAATAAACCCTTAGGGCTTACCAGTAGTGCATGTTTAATCCACATGACAAAAGTTTTAAGATACATGAAAAAGAATACACACAGTAAATTGAGCCAATAAGCCTAAGAGTAAAGCTAAACTATACATTACACAGCAGAGTGCAAAGAGAAGCACAGCGATTTCTGAAAATGTCCACACTCACTGAGTTGTGCTTGGATTTGGGCACTGTGACTGTTTCACAGTCATGGTGCTGTAGAAGAGAAGGCTCTACAAGCTATTTTGTGTAGCCTGGTTTTCAGTCGAGTAAGAAGCCCTGATTTAGCAGATTTCAGATTAAGTGTTGGACTATTGTATAAGATCATGGATAAGACCTCAAAATAACCTAGAGCTACTCCGTTCAGTACCTTATATGTGAGCAAAACAACATTGTACATTTACCTGTCTCCATTCAGATCTAGTGTGGAAGGAATGCAATATACTTTATGCTTGATCAGAATATGCCTGTATTATGGGGAGAAGACAAAGAGTTGACACCAGACACTTAAGATCTTTGTTTGTTTCAGCTCTATATGCCAGGAACACAACATTTTTAAAGTCAGCCAGTCTGCCTGGACTCTGGAGACCATTTGAATAGCCTATAACTTTACCATATTACCTACCCCCATTGGGTCACTGGACGCTCCAACATGCTTTTGTGTAGGTGTTTCTTTGCCCCTTTTCATTGTGCTATCCTGGATCAGAGCCTAGAGGTTGGGACTCTTCAGTGGGGTCCTCCACTGCACCACTACACTGTGCAGTAAGTTCTCTTGCGACAGCTGTGGTACACAAGCCCTTATATGGTGGTAACATTTTACCACCGCAGTTCAAGGTCACTGCATTCACACAGCCTGTACACTCAGAAAGATGTATGGGTCCTCCTCACATGTGCTAAGATGTGCTGAGGGGGCCCAGCTTGCCCTGCACAGGAAGGGCTCTTTGACATTGACAAAGAAGCTTTCAGAATTCAAGTTGAGGAGTAGGATAACCCATATGTGGGATAACGGCTGTATTTCAGGAAACTAGGGTTATGGAAATACCCTAACTTCCAGAAAATTAATGTTTTTCCAGTACATTGTTTCATAATGCTGTAGAGCTGTTATCACTTCCCTAGAGAGAACCACTCAGTATTAGTCTTACAGTGATATAGGAGCTTACCTTTCCAATTCCTTGCTCCCTTCCTGAGATCTAAGATGACAGATATGAGCCATGACGTCAGACAACTGTTTTCCTTTATCTCATGTCTAGGAAAATAAAAATTTGATCAGCAAGCTGAATGTCTTCCTTGATAATCACTCCCTCTTACATGTCTGCAGTGAAGTTTGGATAGAGGGATGTGGAAAAGGCATTGGTAGTGTTAACTGAGCTCCGGTTAAAGGAGCACTCCTTTCTTCACTGGATTCTTACTTCTAAAATAGACCCTGATACATTCTAATCCACACATAATACCAGCATCCTTTCCCCACTCTTGGTAAAGTGTGAATTGATGATAATTCAGGGAAATTCAATGCATTTTAAACAGCTACCATTGTTTCAGAACTGAACATTTTAACCTAGGATTTACATAAGATGATTATGATGCACTAAAAATACTTTACAGCCTGAAGTGCTTCAGAAATAGAATAAAGTCAATTAGGGTACTTAAATATTTCGCAACACAGAAAAATCCAAGTGTTTTTCAGAAGTGTTTGACACATTTAGCAGAACTGCATTAATTAGCTCCAATAACTGAAGCACCATTGAAATATTTAGAGCATATGTTGAATACATCAAAAGAACTCAAAGGTTTTTCCAAGGATTAACAGGAGATGATATCAGGGAAGGCCTAATGTAGTTACTAAGAAAGGAAAGGAGTTTGAGATATTGAATGAAAACTCCAGAATCAGTAACCCACAATGTTAGTGCTTGATAAGTAGATACCAAAGATGAGGCACAAACAGGCCAGGGAGTCTTGGATAAAGTCTTCTTTTAATGTTACATTTTAACCTAAATGGGTCTTAGTTTGATCAATCAGAGACACAAAGGATCTTTTTAGCAATGTTCATTTTATTGATTTTTTTTTCACCTCTAAATTCATTGAATAACAAGTCACATCTGTCCTGCTTGCTTGATCAGCAGAGGTGAAGACTGTAAGTGAAAAATTCAAGAGAAGCTGCCAGGATTCAAACTCAATTCTGGTTCAAAGCAGCAAACTGCAGTTTTTTATGTTTGCAAATTAAGGGTGTAACTTAGCCTCAATTTCCAGATTCGGCCACGTGTTTCTCTGTTGTACAGAAATGGACTCAGATGCCAAATTAAAATATTTTCAATATGAAAGCCTTCAATATCAGTCCCTACATAATGGTAACCTTCAAATATGTGAAAATCTTGTTGATGTCAACATGCTCTTGGGAAATGACATTTTCGAAAATGAAAGGATTATTACTTTGCAGTTCGGTTTTCATAAAGAAGAACATATGTTTTCCTTGTTGTGTTCTGAATTCTGCATGTTTATTTGTGAATCTTATTATCAAAGGAGTAGGATAATAACATACTTTAAATGCCATGAACTTCGAGATGAATAGAATAGGTCACCATAGAGAAATACTGTACAGTATGTAAAGTGATGACAAGCATTACAAATGTTGCTTGTGTACGTTTTTTAAAACTGTTTTGTGATACAGTTAGAAAATTCGAATCCATTTATTTTTTTATATTCAGAACAGGAGATGAATGAGCTGTACTCTGGTATCTAGTGCTTTTCATAACAACCAATATATGAGTCAATATTTTCAAAGTGATCAAAGATTGTATGGATTTAGACATGCAGATTTATATTCTAGAGTTCTGGGAGTAGAAGCCAAAGATAAAGCCATACTTAAACTGGAAAATACCTGATTTGGTTTCAAACTACAAAGTACAAGTAAAGCCTGGAAGCAATTAATGTTTTTTGTTCCATGAACACTGAGAAATTACATTTTAAATTGATTTGCTTAGTATGTTCAAAGGTTTCTGGCTTATTTCTACTTGTTGTGTAATATTTTTCTTTTCATGGTTATAAGATCTGAATTATAAGGTATCTGAGTTCTATGTGACTGCTACCCAGACTTTCTTTTCATGTTTCCCATATTTCACCATATTTCTTACAACAATGGAGCAGTCATTCTTTTTGCCTAGTATGAAAAAAATGAGATTAGTTTGAGAGACACTGTGTGGTAGGTGTAGATTCTCTTAGGCTCTTCACAGCACATTTACATGGGTGTGTTTAACATGGCAAAGCTTGCAATTTCCAACAATACATGATTAAAAATAGCCTGCCATTTAATTAAATCTTTTTGAAAAACTGAAGTACGTTTGCTAAAAAGCCTATTGAATTCTCTAGGGGATCCAGACATTTTTCACAGTTTGTTTTTATATTGGCAAAACATTGATCATTTTGAAACTGGGTAAAAGAGCAGAAGCTGTCTCAAATGTGTTTCTGTAAGTGTTGGTAAAAAACATCAAGTCACTTTTTAAAAAAGAAAAGGGAGCCTGAAAACATGAATTATATGGTGTGTACTGCAATTGTATTTCACAAACAGATCAGAGTAATTTAGTTATCCATTTTTAATAGTAGCACTTCACATTTTGGCTCTAATTACTGTGTAATTAAATGCAGGCATGACAAATAATACATTATTACAATTTATAATTCTTTATTTGTCTGTCAGGAGTCATGCACTTACTTACCTATTTATTTTCATTACTCGTTTTATTTCCATATTTATTTGAGTATAATCCGTTTACGTTGTTGGATTATACCATCAGCCCCGGGGCTCATGCTTAGAAGCATCATTGTTCTCAAAGCAACGTTTCAGTGTCTGTCGAGTGGGACCAACGGTCAGCCCAGGGCAGTGGGACAGTGGTGCTGTCACTTCCTTCATCAGAAAGCAGGTGAAAGGCTAGAGGGCTTGAATTTGAACTTACGGCAGCGTAATGCAAAACTCTTTTTCCTTGCTTTGCTGTCACTTGTCTATAATCAAATGAGCAGCTAGCTCTTCACAATGGTGTGATTTACTGTATGCTGCAATGGAGCACACTGAATGTGAATGTGCCTGACATGTAGGCTTTGAACTATGCGCCTTGTATTTAATGGGCCACAGTGTCATCTCTGCTTAAACGACTGCTCTGCTTAGTTGACTTCAATATTTCCCTCCTCAGGCAAACAGAGTAAACTGTGCAAGCCTTCTAGTGCCACAATGGCACAACCTTTTCTCACTACCTCATTAAATTGCTTGTTTATTCAGGGATTCATGGAATTTGGAGGAGAGACATACACATGAAAAATAGCTAATTAAATAACCATGACTTGGTTAGGAATATTATTGAGATATTTTCATTTCACAATGCTGGATCCTCTGATTCTGCCTTTTGCATATACAGTATAAAGTCAAATGTAGCAGCCACAGGCTACTGTTACACCCTTATCAGGGTTTATCAGCATGGCATAGCTGGCTTCAAGCAGTGATACTGCTAATAATAATTGCTTACACTTATATAGTGCTTTTCTGGACACTCCACTCAAAGTGCTTTACAGGTAATGGGGACTCCCCTCCACCACCACCAATGTGCAGCCCCACCTGGATGATGCAACAGCAGCCATAGTGCGCCAGAATGTTCACCACACATCAGCTATCGGTGGAGACGAGAACAGAGTGATGAAGCCAATTCAAGATGGGGATTATTAGGAGGCCATGATTGGTAAGGGCCAATGGGAAATTTGGCCAGGACGCCAGGGTTACACCCCTACTCTTTTTGAGAGACGCCCTGTGATTTTTTTAATGACCACAGACAGTCAGAACCTCAGGTTTTACGTCTCATCCGAAGGACAGCGCCTGTTTACAGTTTAGTGTTCCCCTCACAATACTGGGTCATTTGGACCCACATAGACCACAGGGTGAGCGCCCCTTACTGGCCCCACTAACACCTCTTCCAGCAGCAATCTCAGTTTTTCCCAGGAGGTCTCCCATCCAGGTACTGACCAGGCTCAGACCTTCTTAGCTTCAGTGGGTTGCCAGTTGTGAGTTGTAGATTGATATGGCTGCTGGCATACTGACATACACCATATGCATATCCTACAAGGAACACCTTTCAGGTTTATGGTGTCCTTTAAGTGAGCATTCCAAACACATCACAAACCTGAAAGGTGCTGCTTGTAAATATACACAATTAAATCTTTTTTTTTAATTTTTGTTTTAGGTTTTTTTTAGGTCAAAACCTAAAGTTCCATCTACTTGTTTTTATTTTTTTTACATGGACATAAAGTACTTTTCCTTCTATACAGTCCACTGCTTCCAGTCATTACATTTCCATACAAGGTCTTTTCTCCTCAGCATACATCTGCAGTTGACATTAAACACTGCTTAACTGCTTACATAGGGGCAACCTGCTCAGAAGGCATTTCATTTTAGCCCGGTGTGGTGCCAAAACTGTTTGCCATAGAAACACTGCTGGATTCTTAGAGTTTCTTTCAAGCAGGGTCAATGATAGCAACAAGGAATCAGAAGAATGCAAGAATGTTTATTAAAAAAAGAAATCACTCTTATGGAGCTTTAATATTATTCCAATTAACAGCAGTAGATCAAGAAAGCTATCTAATTATTAAGCAGACAAAAATACTTAAACTTGTTTAAATAGCTTAAATAATTAAATAACACATACTCAATAAACAGGCAGAACCTTGCTTAATTACAACTAATATCTAATAGTATGTTTCTGAATCTAGGCATGGCATTCAGTCAGTTATAACTACATATTTAAGTACATTACTAACTTGAGTCACTGTCCAAGTACAGTAGGACTATTTGCTGTACAGTATATGTCTCTTCTCTTGAGTAGTCAAGTGAGTCCTCATTGGAAAACCCAGTTTCTGCTGCTCTCAGTGCTGTTAAAGGGACTGTAGGAGACACTCTTCCCTCTGTTCGGACTTTCCAAAGTAATGTCACACTATGTGCTTTAGGAGGAAACCATCCTTTGAATAAGATGTTTACCAAAACGTTTACTGACTTCTGGGTCATTAAAAACCCATGTCACTGCAAGATGGTAATAGTGTTAACCCCAGTGTCCTGGGCAAATTACATGCTGGAATTACACTAACTTGTCTATGCAAAAGTGAATAATTCAGCGGGTGAAACCCTTTTTCACTTTCCTACCTGATATGTGGTCCAGGAGGGCGCTGGGAGCTTCAGTGATAGATGACATGGGCCTACTCCTACGTGTGAAAGCACTTTGAGATCCTTCAAAATTAAAAATGCCACACAAATGCAGGAAACTATTAATATCACGAAGTTCTGCGAACTGTATGACCTTGTGTGAAGTAGGAATAGTGGCCCCTCCCTCCCTCCCTCTGTCAGCCTGCCTCCAGCACTGTTCCTTCTCAGCTACCACAGCTGCTCTCTCTTTGCTATCCGAAAAAAGAACAGGAGCATACAAGGGAAAAGGCCACAAAGAATGAAAAAGAACTCAATTAACCCGTTAATTCAATTAAAGAGTGAACTATATTATGGTGCCTAATTAATGGTACAGGCCTGACAGCAACAGTACATAAATTCCCTCAGATAACACTCCAGTGCATATTGAAGTTTGTAAAACCACCTATCTTAGTTTTAGTTAATCACCTATGTTTTTGTGTCAGAGAAACCAATGTAAAAAACAGGCCAAAATTACAGGAAGCAGTATCCAGGATACTGAAATCTTATGGGCTGAGCAGTCGAAAATGCCAATTAGCTTTGTGTGAAGCTGGCTCTGTCCTCTCCTCTTGTTGGAGGTTTGAGAGTGTTCATTTCAGCTGGAGAAGCACAGTAATATTTTTCAAGTGGTGCATACCAGCTTCTGTCTTTATTATCTTGCTAATTTGTGAATCTACGACTCTGTATAATGATACCACCATATGTCAAATAAAGTGAGGCAGATATATTTTAAGCTAAACCAGCCTTCCAAAAGATGTGCACGATGCAAGTGATACATTATATTTTAATATGTTCTAAACACATACCATCTGTTTTTCTGCTCCACCACAAGAGGACATTTTTTAATGGGACTTAACTAGCTACCCTCAGCGCTTCTTTTATTTATGTTAAAAGTGTAAAAAATAAATGAAAGCAAAAAATAGTACTCAGCCTACAGCTTTTTTCCACATGCAACAGCTCAGCGCCCTGAGAAGGTTTTTTCTAGAGCAGTAAAGTTTCAATAGAGACATTTCCTTCTCTGACGATAGGCCTGCAGAGCTTGACAACCAGATTCAATATTCTCTCTGTTGCGATTGTAGTGTTTAGGAAGTTAATAAATCTCACTTGTTTGGGTAATAATAACAGTTTACGATCCAAAAGCAGAAACTGTGTCATTGCTGGTATATTAAGCTGTTTTTTTTAATGCATTACTGCTAGTTGCTTTTAGAGTTGCCTCAATTTGGTGTTATTTTCGATTCAGCAGCCTGACAGTGCAGAAAGCAGTATGACCTGGGTGACAGTGTAATTTGATTTGCTTCAGTCATAGTGTACAAATTAAATCTTATTAATTAGTTCTTCGGGGCAAATAAAAGGTATTTAATTGCTAGATGTGGACACACAACTATTAACCATCATGATGTAAACCTACTGCAGTGAAATGAAGGATTAATTTTTTTTGGATGAAACAATTTTTCCAATAGTAAAAAGCTCCACGCGTAAATGAAGTATTGTTAATTCAAAATTAAAAACATAGTAAAGGGAATACAGGAGCTAGTGCGCAGGTCTTCCAAGTGACCACCAGGGGGAGCACCACCTCCAGGCACCTCCTTTTAAGTAAAGAGGAAGAACAGATTTAACCTGCTGAATTTCCTTCTGCAAATTCCATCCAAAGTAAAGTTGCATTGCTCTTGTAGGTTTTTTCCCCAAGCTAGTCTGAACTATTTTACACCACCCCTCATTCTTTTTCAGTTCATTTGCTTAACTGTGTAAGTCATCCATATTATTCCACATAAATCATGTGGTGCCAGCTAAGAGAGATGTTCCGTTTTTGTTTTCCCAGAGTTAATGAAGTCACTCCTTGTAGTGCTGATGATATTGCCAGGATAGAATCAGAGGGAGATTATTAAAAACATGAGGTGAAGCCGTTTACAGAATACCGGAGGGGCTGTGATTAATTCCTGCAGCATTCAGATGCAATCTAAACGATGTTTTACTATGAAGCCATCTGGTGTGTCTATAGGTGTGCATTTGAAGAGAGTCAGCCCAATATGCTGCCACTCAGGTGAGAGATTTCTGTTCACTGGTGTACATAAAACAGAAAAGGTGTGTATGATGCCAGCAGGATGCATACAAGCACGGGCACGCATACTATAGCTTTTCTGTTAAAGACCTACCATAGAGCTTCAGGCAAATTCATTTCAGGAAGATTCACTTAAGTCTGAGATCCATCACAGTTCTCAAACTATTAAAGGAATACCTTCTTCTTGTTTGAATTCCACTCCATTACTTGTTTAAATAATGTCTTTAAGAATCGGCTGCTGCTGACATAGTTATAAAGGACTGAAGGCCAGCAGGAGATTGGTTTGTGCCACAGAGCACACTACAGATCCCTGGACGTTGACTCTGGAGTATGCATTCAAAGATGGAAATGGTTCCATAGGACAGTTGTTACCCACTTAATGAGTTGTGGGTATTCATGAGTTGTTATGAATCTGAATCCTAAATTTACCTGATGTTAAAAAATTTTAGTGCTCCCACTTTTTTCCTGTGTCTTGTGGTCTAAAGATACATTTTGACATCAGGATAGAAGTTGGGCAGTGGTCCCACAGGAAAAATACATTTGTATAACTATTGATAAAACTACTGAAAAAATCCAAGTGAAAACAGACGCTACGAGAATGAACACAAAAGCATATCGGATATGCTGTAGGATATGGTATGTTGCAGCCTGTGAAACGTCATAATACTAATGAAGAGGCATTAAAGCATTTGATAAGCAAATTGGAACCCTACCCAACTGGAATTCATATCCATATCCAGGGATCTTCTCCTTCACAGTGGAGGAATTAGGATATGCAGCAATGGTCTCTTATTTGTCCTGAGGGAAATCAGGGTTGACTCGAAATATCATAACAGTTACATAGACAGGGAGACAGAGTGACTTCTCTCAATTAAATTAATTATTCTGAAGGTAATGCTAATAAAGATGAAAGTCTAGCTTCTCTCAAGTATTTAATTGAAATTGCCTGCACGGTATTGTCTCCACCGCCCCAAAGAGCTGCCCCACCTTCTTTTGAGAGGAGGAAGATGATTACATGACTAAGAGATTTCTTTGCAAGTAACAGCACTAGGGAGCATAGCGATTGTTCTGTTAGCACTGTTCCAAAAATATCCCCCTTTGGAATAATACTAGTAAAATCCCAGGGGTATCTGAATGTAATCTGAACGGGAGCCAATATAGACTTGACCTAAGCCAGGCAAAAGTCCCTCTACAGTCTATGGGCAGAGCAAAGCAGGAGACATGATCCCTACACCTCTATGCAAGCTCTACAGTATACTCACTCACAGGGCCCCTATGAAATAGCGGAGTACACAGGTCCTGTTAATTACAGTACAAGATCTGATAACCTGAAAGCTAAAAACAGGAGTAGATATATCAACCTACTCAAGTCCTGGAGATAATCAAAGGATGCAGAGCAGATAATTAGCCTATGGGAAATAGCCTATCCCTACAACCTATGGGAACATTGGAAAAAAGAAGCCGAGAAAATGACTCCAGTCCTTTCCCATCTTCTGGGGACGCACGCCAATAATTGAGCTTGATAACTGAAGGATCAGGTCCTGGACCACGATGAAGTCAAAGTCCACCAGGAAGTGAAGAATCTTTCCTTGATGTCTTTAAAATAACCATCCTTGGTCCAGCCCTGTTAGGCTGCTATAACAATTTCATACCTCGGTTTTCTGAGCGTGCCTCCTGAACACGACCAGACGCCCTCCCAGTCTTCTCCATCATGAAGCGCAGGTAACGTTATGTGCAGATTCCTCTCCCAATTTGAAGGAGAGATTTTTCTCTTCAGCCAGTTGCAACAGAATGGGGCTTCAGGGCAGGGTTGCCTCAATCGAAGCTCCTCCCCCGGCCACACGGTGATGTCGTGGTGAAAGAGCACCTCGTTGTCAAGTGGACCATCAAGTCTGTGCATTAATATTGTGCCCGCTGGGCAGGGACGTCATGCTAGTCATCGATGATGACCCTCCGACTTCAGTGAACAACGTCGAGGATAAAAACGCCCAGGTGATGTGATGGTTTCTCACTCTACATGTTCCACACAAGCTCTTGTAAGGAACAGGAGCTGGGTTTTCCCTTGGTGAAGCAGGCATTCTTTCCCTGATCCACAGCTTCGTGGGAACCAATTCCACATCTGCGTGTTTGATCAGGGAGAAAGGAGATATCGAAATACGTACCACACCACTTAGAAATGTACCTCTTATGAGCTATGGGGTCCCTTTGTGTTCATTAGTCTGCAGAAAGTTCTTGTGAGAGCCAACTTTTGAAATCTGTCAAGGGTAAAACCTCTGTTACGTACTGTTGAAGCCTGTGTGTGGAATTCAGTCAATATAGTCTTTTATATATATATATAAAAGAAATATATTTATTTTTTGAAAATTAATTTTTAAGGATCCTTACAGCATGGAGCAAAATATGCGTCAGCAATTCAGTACGAACAGTTCTTTGAAAACGATTGCAGATTCCACCTGGTGACCTGTAAGAAGAACCGTAGCTAAGTTTTGTTTTAAACTGGAGTAAAATATGATTAGTGAATATAAGGAAGCAGATATGAATTGTGCTGTGTGTCATTCCCTCCCTGTCCTTTAATCCCTCTGGCTTTGAATCGCCAACCAAAAGTCTTTTTTTTTCCTTAGTTACTTTATTGCCAGTCCAGTATTACTGCACATGCCAGCTGACCAGAAACACAACCCTGAAATCAAAATGCGCTCCAAATGTGAACTGGTGAATAGAAGTACTGTATTTCAGGCCTGTTCTGTCTTTTAACCACAGTGCTTTGCATTTGGAATGGTTTGAAAAAGTAAAAAAACATTTCCCTTTGTAATGCAACGCACAACATGAACCGAACACCAACATAAGCCCTTGTTAGGGAACCGTCTTCGGCTTCTTTCCACAGTCATCAGAGAAGGAGTTCTTAGACGCCATGAGCTTGTGACACTCGTTCTCTTGTAGAGAAGAGAAGAAGAAGAAGGAGAGGGGGCCATTGTTGCACTCGAGCTGTTGTGAACACAGCTCTTACCCCCCAGGGGGGAAGGGACAAAGAGGGAGACCAGAGGT